AGGTAGTTCCCCTTTCAGCTTCAGATTACTTAAAGTGACGTGTCTCTCCATGGCAGTTCCAAAAGGGTGCCACAGTTCAAAGAATACAATACCCAAACTATACATGTCAGCCTGCAGTTCAGAAACATCATTTCAAAACACAAAGAAATAAGCAGAAAGAAAAGAAACCTGAGGAGCAGAAGAAAGAATATATACAAGCATTTTTTGATAAGGCAGCAACAGCTACTAACCTTTTCGTCAATCTTAGGCCAACTTTGCTCAATTTCGGGAGCTGTGTAAAAGTAAGTACCGGCTTGACCGGTACTATCAACTCCACTTCCGGCCACATCCGTGGGGACACCCCCATCTTGGTCCAACTGTTCCAGCTTCAAAAACTTTGCTGATAAAGTAAAAATATGCATGTATTATTCGTTTTTGTTTTCCATATGACAGTCGAACAATCACAGTATAATGAGGTGACTAGGTTAATTATTTTATTTCAAGACTTGAAACGCATTATCAGGTTGATTCGTTACCTAATGAGGGAGCTTAAAACGAAAAAAATCATTAACTACAGAAGCATACCAAGACCAAAGTCCCCAATTTTGACATCATTCCGGGCGTCAAAGAAAATGTTGTTCGGTGTAAAATCTCTATGAATTATCCCTTGTCCATGAATATGAGCCAGGCCTTCAACAATTTGGCGGATTAAATGCCATGCAAAATCTTTGTCGAAGTGATTATATGATTCAAAAACCTGGCGGAGAGTCCTTGAACATAATTGGAACATAAAAAGTAAGAAGAAGAAAGCAAGTAATGCTTAGACTACAGAAAATAACAAAATGAAACAAACCAAGGATAAATGTACCGAGTTCATGGAGATATTGTAGACATTTGAAGGCATTTGACTCTTCCTAAGTAATTCTTGGACCACTTAATATGTCATATAGTAGGCATAGGACTCTAAGGAACTTGGAATTAACTTCTATCACTCACAATGTCAAAAATCAATAATGATTTTATATCTATTTACCTGGGACAATACTCCATTTGAATATACAGATAAGTAGACTCAAGCTTATTGTCCTGCTCAGGAATTTCAGTTGACACTGCACCCGAGTAGCTGAAAATTGAACTCCCTGCAGTTTTTGATCCCCAATTTGCGCCAGCAGAAGGATCAGCAACTCCTGTTTCGAACCAGGCCTGTTTTCATGTAAAATAGATAGAACCGGTAAACTACAGAATCTAGGCAAAGGAATAGCACTAAGACAGCACCAGAAACTTCATGATACAGATGTTGGAACAATGAACATTGTGGCGAATAAGGATTTTTATAGAAATATTAATATGAATCGCATAGATACACATGTCATATCTCACTGAATGCAGTCACTGATCAGTAGAAAGTTCAGAAGAAAGGAAAGGACCTTTACCTGATAGTAACGTACAACATGTTGATGCTGCAAGCGGGAAAGTGTTGCTACTTCTCTAATTAGCTCACAACAAGTCAGATGCAGAAACAGTTTTAGCATCATATTTTAAACCATCAGATACAAAGTATAATACGCTCACCACATACAATGACTATACAAGCCTATACTAAAGTTTTCAAGACAAGGCCATAAAGCCTGGTTTTCAGCAAACATAGTTGCAAGTAAACGAAGTTTGCAGAACAAAAGATATAATACTCTGAGGAAGATCGTGTTAATTCGCAGTTCTCTTACAGTTGCTTAAAAAGTATAGACAATTTCCAAGAATCCTTTCCCATCCCCACTGAAAAGTGAATGCACTCATATGAACATTTTTCTCACTTACCGAACTATGCGGTTGTCCACAGGTATCTCTTTATCCTTCAGTCGAATTTTCTTCACTGCATATTGTCTTCCATCCAATTTGTTTTTGCACAGCATAACGTAACCGAAAGCACCATGGCCTGCCAACAGAGAGTTTCAGCAGAGAGCAAGAAAGAAAATTACTTGCTCTAACCAAAACTGCATAACAAATATACCTAGGGGTTTCAACTCTTCAAAATCATCGAGATACCGTGAGCTTGGGAGTGACACTTTTGGCTCGCCAAAATCAGACGGTGGCTCCCAGAACTGAGGAACTCTGGTTGAAGCCTAAGAAGATAACATAATTCGGATGCATTATTTGAAATGCAACTAAATCAACAATAACTAACAAGTGTGTTAAAGGATACGCACCATATTTTGATTGAATACATCTTCAAAGGTTCTATTGAAGTCTGAAGATGATTTAGAAGCTAAATCTAACACCCCTTCAGACAATATCTGAAATGATTTGAGAAAAACAATATTACCTTTTAAACAGGGTTTTAGGGAAAAGGAAGAAACTTCTCTTAATATAATGAAGAATCCATATGATATAAAACACATACACCAAGTTGGTGCAATTCGTCTGTTATCCGAGGCAACGCATCAGCCAAGGGCCCTTTAGAAGAACAAGCAACTCGAAGTAAATGAACCTGCAAGGTGCTTAGATTAGAGCTACATTAAGACTTAAACCATGCATAAAGAAGAAAAAAAAATTACCATTAATAGATCTTTCTTGCTAATCTGAGGCACTTGATCTTGAGCTAAGGAATCAAAAGACCATGACTTCAGCGACTCACTTTCAGAGTCATTGTTGTCATCTTCAGACGTATCATCTTGGAGACTTGATTCCTGCTAAAAGAAACAAGAATTCAAAAAAAATGCAACACTTCCCATTAAACTTCTTTTAAAGTAGTATCTCATATCATACATAAAGGATCACTTGATGATTGTAACCGAGGGATTAAGATAAAACAGATAGTCCTGCCCTCACCTTCTTTTCCTTTTGGAATAATCCAGATCCCACATCTTCAGTAGAGTTGCTTGAGTCAAAGGAAGAGACGCTTGTATCATCAACATTATCCTCTGGAAGAGTATCTAGTTTGGCAATCGGAGAAGGCAATGCAACTTCTTCTTTAGCGTGGTCTTCAGATCGCTTCAGATTCTTGTCCGTCTTCTCTTGCAAAACTCTTGAAGTGTCTAGTGGGTGAGATTGTACTGTAGAAACGATTCCCCTGTTTTCATCTGGATTCAGGCTCCAATTCCTTGAATCTTCCAATCCACTAAACAGGTCTATGAAACCATAGACAAAAGGTCCAACAGAAGAGGACTTTGCTTTATTCGAAAGCACAACTTCCTCTGTGACCTGAGCGCTTGGATGTGCAGTCAAGCATGGAACCTTCAGAAGAAATAGTGACAATGTAAAGTAAGCACAACCAACGCAAACACAAACCAGACACAAGGATAATGTTGATGAAACTGCATAGATAAACCATGGCATAAACTGTAATTTGGGTGAATACACTTACAGATTCCTCCTTATGACTGTCCGGAATGATTTCTGATAAAAACTCTTGAGCCGCCTCCACCAAGTTGAATATCATAACTCGACCTTCACGAGCATTTGAATTTGCCTGCATAGAATATAAATCAGTATGATAATCATTGCTCACAGACGATAAAATTCAGGATCCAACGCCTAAAAATTTAACATTTTAAACTGCTATGCTTAGTAACTGTGCCATACCTGGTCCTGGAGAAGAGATAAAAGCTTCTCAGCATCAGCTGTTGTCAACCCTTGCTCTGGAGTAATCTGCAGCTTCGGACACTTGTATGGATATCCTGGTAAGCATCTAGACGGGAAGAAATAAAAGTTAGAAGGTGGTAAATGGTAATGAAAAGATAAAAATGTTAACTTTGTCATAGATTCAGAAAGAAGATACTCACTCACCTAACTAAAAGCATAGCAGAGATGTTGGTATCCTCATATCCCATATCTTTCGAGTAAGGCCTGCGAGTTCGGAGAATCAGTCAACCAGTAACATTACAGCAGCTAAACTTGATTGCAAACAAGTCGAATCAGAAGCGAAACCTGATTTTAATAACTATTTGAGGAGGCGAGCGAGAATCTGAAACAATTTGGCAGTCCTCTTGAAATATAGCAGAGCTGGAAAAAATGAAAAACGAAAACCAATCCCTCTTATTAATAAATCTCTAAACCCTAATTGCACACGAAAACCGATGAGATAAACAGTTCCCGACTTACAGAGCAGTGATCTCCTCTGAGAGAAGTTCGTTCTCTTCATCATCGTTAGATCCATGGTCCTTCAGCTGACCCCTTCTTCCGCTATTACCTCCTCCTCGTTTCTTCTTTTTCTTCGAACTGCGAACCATTCCCTCTAATCAATTTAAAAAAAAAAAAAAAAGAGAAACTTTCTACTCCGATTTTCCCTCGAATCACCACCACTACAAAAACCAACTCCGTAAAACCTCTTCTTCGTCTCTCGCCTTCTCCTCTCTCAATAACAAGTCACAACTACCGCCAAACAATCTCAATCTTAAGAATTTTGAAAATCACCAATTCATTTCCAGATGTATTTCGGAAAATTTCAATCGATGGGTCGTTTATATAAGTCTCTCAAAAACCATAAAAAAAAGCATTGACGGCTCTTCAAAGATGGCGCCATCAGACAAGTATACACACATCTCATTCTGATTCCAGTCCAGCAAAGACCGCCGAAACGACGTCGCATTGGTGTCAGTAAGTTAATGGGCCTAGTTATACCCATTAAGCTATATATTCATCAAAGGCCCGTTATCACAACAGTTACCTGTGACTGTGTCTGGTTACAAACTGTGACGTGGAATATAGCTTCCTCATAATAATAAATAAATTGTATTTACGAGACTATATAAGACTTTCATTCAATCGCGAAAACGAAAGAAATGACGTAGACACAAAATCCATCATTAAAATTCACTGAAATTTATTTTTATACAAATAAAAAAGAAAATGGAAATGATGAAAGTATTTTAGAAAAAGAGAATCAGACCTGACCCATAAGTGACCAATCAGAATCGACCCCGCCTAGCCTCTCCTGATTTTCCACACCTTATCTTCGTCTTTAAACTCTCCAACTTCACTCTCTATCTTCCTGACGTGACTTCTCTCTCTCTCTTCCTCCATCAATGGCCACCACTAACTCTCTCCACCACCACCACTCCTCCTCCTCTTCTTACCAACACCCCCGCCACAATCTCCATTGCCAATCTCACTTCGGACCAACTTCTCTCTCCCTCAAACAACCCACCTCCGCCTCCACATTCTCATCACTCATCTGCTCTTCTTCCTCCTCCTCCTCCTCCGCCGTCGTCTCCGCCGCTGCTACTACCACAAACGCCTCCGCCGTGACCGCTGAAACCGCGACGAAATTCGATGTCCTAGCGAGCCATCTCATCAATCAAGATTTCAGGAAAGCCGACGAGGAAACTCGGAGGCTTCTCATTCAGATAGCAGGAGAAGCCGCCGTAAAACGCGGCTACGTGTTCTTCTCCGAGGTGAAATCGATCTCCGTCGAAGATCTTCAAGCTATCGACAACCTGTGGACGAAACACAGCGATGGGAGGTTCGGATACAGTGTGCAACGCAAAATCTGGTTGAAAGTCAAGAAAGATTTCACCAGATTCTTCATTAAAGTCGAGTGGATGAAGCTTCTTGACACAGAGGTTGTTCAGTACAACTACAGAGCTTTCCCTGACGAGTTCAAGTGGGAGCTTAACGATGAAATGCCTCTAGGACACTTACCGCTCACAAACGCGTTGAGAGGAACGCAGCTTCTGAAATGCGTTTTGAGCCATCCCGCGTTTGTGATAGCTGATGATGATAACGAGGAACCAGACGAATCGGAAAACAGAGGTGGGGCTAAAGCTAAAGAACCGAAGAAAGACACGAGAATGTTTAAAACCGATTACAAATTCTGATGTCTTTTTTTTTTAATTTATTTATAATTCTTCTGATAATTTGAAAGTATAAACCAACCTCTGTAATCAATCATCATCAATTAAAATTGAGTTATCTTCATCTTCAATGACGGTTTCGTTGGGATTATGAATGTATGAACACAAGTCAAGTCATTAGTTAATGAATAATAATAATAAAAGTCTCTCTTGGTTGATCAATGTGAAACAACCTTCAAACTCCAGCTGTCCATAAAGGGCCCTTCTCTTGTTTGTGTCCTCTTTGCTGATTTGATGAATGAATACAAAAGTGGTGATTTTGGCACTGTTCAAGAGAGCTGCACCTCAATGTGTGTAAAATATCTAAAGGATACGTTGCTGCTTGTGTGGCCTTGCAGTTAATTCTCAACGTAGGCCACAAACGTTACAGTGGATGTGGACAGATGCTTTATGCCACTCTGTGGTTTTAAATGAATAAACGTTCTTCCACCATGTAACAAATGACCAGCAAAGAATTCAAAGTTTTAAGTAGCATTCTTCAGACTATTTGAGCTACAGATTGGGGAAAAGGAGAGATCTTTTAATCAATTCCCTTAGAAGAAAACTATAAATCTTAAAATTCCATTACTATCTGCTTTGTGGTATATGCATAAGCAGGGAAAAATTATGGTGCAAGTCTCAACTATACTGACTAGTTTCTAGGCACATGGGCAGAGTCGTCGGGTGTATTGGTGTGAACCGTCACAAGAAAGCAATGACTGTGTCCGTGTGTACAAGCACGCGCCTGGATACTGAAAAAACCAAGGAAATTAACACACACATATCGAATCACTCAGTTTATGATCAAGATCCAAAGGTTAAGTCAAGAGAAGCGATCTTAATGAGATGTTTCACTGAGGAATCAAGAACTTATGAGGAGATAAAAGATGGAATACCAAATCTCTGGGCGCATCATCGACAACTTCAGCAGGTTGGTCAGCCCCGGCACTTGCTAAACAGGAGCCATTGCAGCTCATGTATCTTTGCATACTGAACAAACAAAGTAACAAAAGACCATGTGAACATCAAATTGCGAAGTTTGGATATATGTATGCTTGATGGTTGGCTTATAAGATGACTTGGTAAGTGGTAACTTACACGTCACATTGGTTTAGAAGAGAGAGTTTATTCATCACACACAATTTTCCGCGTGACTTGCATACTGCATCGCATGAATCTCCTTGCCTATGAAACCAAATTAACAAAACGAGTCTTAAGAATATGGTATCCACAAAAGCGTTTACAATTCATCCAGGTAGAGAAGGGAGTGTGTTTTACCTTCCGACAATCACATCAATGCCAAGAAGTCTTGTTTCAACTTGTGTAAGATTAGCCCCTGTTTCAGTTATATGACCAATGTGAAATGGTATATTGACATATAAAAACGGCAGTTGAAAGAAAATGTAGGCTATCAACGCCAACCTGAAGCATTTGATGTCAGAGAAAAGCAATGGTGAAACTTGCTGTGGTATGCATTTTCATGAACCTGAAAGTTTCAGGACAGGACAAAAACATTACACTTTCATAATCCCTCTTATCATTTTCAAGAATTACAGTCAATCGCTTACCACACTCTCAGAATTATGGCGGCATCTCCCGGCACAGAAATCAAAAACAGTCTTGTAAGTTCCTGTAAAAAAAAAGAGGAAAATTTGGTAATCTTGCAAATGCAATTACGTCTATGCGGTTCTAGAATCGAAGCTGCTGTGTAAACGACAAGTTACCTGCTGTAGCCGGCTTTGCAACTTTTACCTTAACCACCTTCTCAAGAATCGTCTGCAGAAGATAAGATATATACACATGAGCAGAAAAACGATGAAGCGAGAACAGAGAATAACCAAAGGTTCCAAAGAATACCCGAGTAGGACTCAAGCAGCAAGAAACGCAAAACTCATAAGAGCTGCAGCATTGTGAAAGGAGGTTGCATCCACTTCAAGCCAAAACACCACAGAAAATGAAGTCTGATTAAGAACGCACTAATCTAAAAAAAAAAACATAATTTAACGATTAAAGGCAATGATGATCTTCTAAACTCACTGACAAGAGAATCTTTCTCCTTTCCATGGGCAACAACGGGTTCGAGAATCCAATGACAGAGAATCACACACATTGCCTGAGACAACAACCATTCAAGCTTAAAAAACAAGCCTTTCTCGCTAAATGCTGTAAAAGTGAATTGGAGGGGGAAATTGCGTACCTTCATCATCGGAGATCAGATACCTTCCTTGGACAGTTGTTCTGCAACTACGCTCTTCTAAGAACCCAATATCCTTCCTGTAAAATCCAATCGAGATCTTAAAGGAAATGGCGAATTAAAGCGAGGGAGGCAAAACAGGGGTGCGGCAATTCATAGAAATAAGGATGTTATACCCAAAATTAATCACCTAATTGCAGAAACTCTCAACGGAAATAACAAACCGGAGAGTTGTAGGAGAGCGAGGAACAGACTGAACCCAGATGTCGACATTCTTGTCGGAGAAAGAAGGAATCTTTCCACCAAAATTGTGCTCCGATTGCGAGCACTTTAACGCCTTCGATCGAAATGCAGTTCGGTCAGATCAAATTGATTGTTTTTTATGTCGTTGAATTGGGGAAATCCGCGAGCCGATACCCGGTTCTAGTCCGGTTCTAGTTTTCTGTTCCGGTTTAAAATCTCCCAGTCCATTAGTTACGTACATTATGACTTCTCTGAATTTCCAAAAAATCGAGATCGTTTGACAATGGGAGAAAGTGTAGGAGAATCTCTGCGAATTATATGACCATATCTTTTGATTTTAACCTGTACAAGTTTCAATCCAGAACTTTTAAGGTTGTGGCAAGAGGCGGATCTCGATTTAAAAACGGCTAATGTCCTTGCAGTTATTTGTCGGCCTGCTCGTCAATATGTGAGGTTTTTTTTTTATTTATAATAAGTTTGCTTATATTGAAGACTCTGACTGAACTTTTGAGTAATCACCATTTTCGTGAAACAGGTGGCTTTCTTCGAAAGACTCAAAGAAAGAGAGATTGAAGCGTTGCAGCATAAAGCTCTCACCACCGCACGAAAGACTAAGCCTTCTTGTTTCTTCTTTTGGCATTGAGTTGTTTTTCTAGCTAATAATGTTATTCCACAGACCAAGATAAAATTATGATTGGGAGAGAATGGTTTGCTTATATATCCTACGTTAATTCTGGCTATTTGTAAGGGCTTCAATACTCTGAGTTTGATTTGTTGGGTCGTAATTAGATTTATTTAGATTGCTTCTATTATATGATAAAGCAACAACAACCGAATTTTTACTTTGGTAAAGCAGAACACTATGGACTTTGCAGTGTGTACAAGTACAAACTTTGATCTCAAAATATACAGAACATAGATGCACTGTGGAACAAAGCCTCCAAATTGTGATGATTCCCCACAAAAACAAGGCTTTGTAGAGACGATATAATTTAACCAAAAACAAGGCTTTATTTGGTGAACGTCAAAGCGAAAGAACACATGTGCCAAATACAGAGTGACGGTAACACATTTACCACGCACATGCCATGTCACCACCAAAAGCTTCACGATCACTCTTACTGATAAGGAACAAATAGAGCCCTTTTTTTTTGTTTTTAATAATGGTTCAAATTAAGTACTAACCCTAGGTATTAATTAGGCACTAATGTTGAAGATGGTATTAAAAATCTCACTTATTTACTTCTTTAGTAATCAACTCCCATGCGTTGAAGAAATTTTATTGCTTTAGAAATAATATCATTTTAATTTGGCTAAAATTGTTTATTTCAACTGTAAAGGTAAAATTCGTTATTAAACATATACACATTTACTAAAAATTCAAATAGTTTGAACATTAGGGCCCACTATTCATGTCTAATTAGACTATTAGTAACCAATATTGTTACTCTCAACATTTTGTAAGAATATCTAAGAATTTTGTTTCATTTATAATCAACCAAACTAAGCATTGTCACTAAAGATTTCTTTCAGTTTTGGTTTTCACCTAGAAGGAAATCGTTTATTTTTTGAAAAAAACTCAAGGGAAAGAATAGTTAGGCACATTGTCAAATACATTCTGTGTATCCCAAAAATTAGGCACATTCTTAAAGAGCTGTGAAATTACTGTTATTTTCCCCCATAAACTACTGTGAATTAATAAAGGATGTTGGCTAATCTCTCATTTAAATATTCGACAATAAAAATAATTAAAATTTAAGAAACGAAAAGAAAACGTTGTTGTGAGATCAAAGCAAAAAGGTCGTGCACCAAACAAATAAGAGAGCACTTGCGAATAAGGAACAAACAACGACCGATTGATTCAATCTCTCCCTCTCTGCATATTCTTCGAATCTTTTTCCTTTTCCCGGTACTTAAAAGAGCTCTCAGGAAAGTTTTAGATCTTGTTCAATTCCTGCAATTCAGAGCGAGGAAGAGGAGAAGAGAGGAGAAGAATAGTGATTCCCTCTGCAAGTCGAGCTCTGGATCTGTGTGAGAAGATAATACGCCCCGTGGCTTGAAGAGAATGCTCTGTTAAGCTGATTGTTAGGTCAATTGAGGTTAGTTTGATCCATCTTCTCACGAATTTGATTGTTTTTGCAATGAACCGACAAGTATTCTGATGGCGGCTTAGAAGTTAGATCCAAGTTTGGGTTTTGAGATCTATCTGCGCTCATTGCTCTTATTGAATTGTGACTCTTATAGAGCTATTGAGATCTGATCGTGGGTTTACACTTGGTGTTTCGAGAAATCTTTGTTTGAATCTGTCACTTATCTCAAATGCCGTTGATTGATAACCTTTTTCCTCAAATTCCACTTAAAAGTTGACATATTCTTATGATCATTAGCTCGAATTCTCTTCTTCTTCTTCTTAATTTCTGTTTTTTTTTGTTTATCAGGTTGGCTCAATCTGTAAATTGTCAAATTGAGGAAGACAAATGATGAATGGGGCTGAGTGCAGTGTATGTCGTTCAAAGCTGGTCTCTCCCAGTAGCAAAGCTATTTCGAGGGCTTATGACGACCATAAGATTAGGGTATCCTCAAAGCAAAAGGTTCTCAATGTCCTTTTGGTAGTTGGTGATTGCATGCTTGTTGGTCTACAGGTAAACAATCTCGCTTAGATTAGAGCCTCATTTCATGGCTGCCATGACAACCATATTTCAGTGTTTTAAGTTTTAAGTTTTTAACACTTAAAAAGTTACATACTTTTCCTTTTTCAGCCTGTCTTGGTGTACATGTCCAAGGTGGATGGGAAGTTCAACTTCAGTCCTATTAGCGTCAACTTCTTGACAGAAATTGCGAAAGTTATTTTTGCAATTGTGATGCTTTTAATTCAGGTATGTTTCTGAATTGACTTTAGAATCTCGATTCTCTTAGCAGTACATGGAAATTTACACTCTAGTATCTAGGACTAGTTGCTAGACGTTTCTCCTGCGTTAGGACATGAATAGTACTAGAAGTTCCTGAAACTTTGGCTGGTTTCTGGTAGTTTATTTATAACTTTGCTCTTCCGATCTTATCGGTTAGAAGTTCTGATGTTGATTAACTGGTAATGCCAATGTGAAACATATCCCATTCTGTGCGGTGCATAAAGACGATTTTCCAGATGATTACCCTCTCGCCTTTCTGTGGAAGGTCCATTTATACTTAAGCTTTTGTGTTGAAATTGTAGGCCAGGCACCAAAAAGTTGGAGAGAAGCCTCTTTTATCTGTTTCCACATTTGTCCAGGTGAGTCCAATCTATTGAGAAGTTTTCTGTGGTACGGCATAATATCAGATCTGAAACTAGCTTCTTACATTCCATTGCTTGATAGCTTGGCATATGTCATACACACATATCTTCTCTACGTATCACCTTCTTTTTTTCTGTTGATGATTGGATTTTTTTGTGGATTTTTGAAATGTGGATGTTACTGACCAGTAGATATACTCATATCTTCAAACTAAGTTTAATTGCTTGACTACTTATAATGCAGATCGTACTGAGTCATTGACATGAGTCTATTTTTTCAGGCAGCTCGAAATAATGTGCTTCTCGCTGTTCCAGCCCTGTTATATGCAATTAACAACTATCTGAAGTTCACAATGCAGGTACATCCACTTTTCTTTTTTTTTTTTTTTTTTTTTTTTTTGCATCCTTAAGTCTAATTAAGCTGCTGAAACTAGTGAGGTCTACTGTCAGATGTTTTGGCTTTGTGGCAATAGCATGTCCTGTGGTGTTCTTTTAATCCAATTTTGTTGATCCTGCATTGTATGACTTTCCAGCAGACACTACTTAAGTGCACCCTAAACAAATGACTGATTTAAAAGCTTCTAAGGAGGGCTATATACCTTTCTTTTCTGCCTTGAGACCTACTGGTCATTGCATTATATATCAAGTTGCCTTTTAGGAATATTTGAGTCGGCCATTGTACATTGTTTCAGTTGGTTTATTTACCAGTACTTTCACGCTCTTACTATCTTGGTTGTATCTTTCGTTCTTTCCTGTATTTTAATTTCACACAATAATGAAAGTTTCTGCTGTGCCAGCTATATTTCAATCCCGCTACTGTGAAGATGCTTAGTAATCTAAAGGTTCTGGTCATTGCTGTTCTATTAAAGATGGTAATGAAGCGGCGGTTTTCCATCATTCAGGTCAGGTTCATTTATTCTTGTTGATTGCATGTGTTTGACCGGTTCTCAGTATCAGACAATATTATAGTGAAAGTTTGTTTGTAACCTTCATTACCCCTTATTCTCATTTAGACTTTTATGTTTTCATACATTGCTCAATCCTGCTTATTTTTAATTTTGGTATAGTGGGAGGCACTTGCTCTGTTGCTGATAGGGATTAGTGTAAATCAACTGCGTTCTCTTCCTGAAGGTGCTACTGCCATTGGAATTCCTCTTGCTACGGGTGCATACGTCTGTACTGTTATCTTTGTAAGTTTCTTCCTCCTGTACTTATATTTGCTCATCTTGAAGGTATGGAAGTGATTCCATGCCCTTTATCTGACTTTCTCATGTTTCCCTGTTGATTCATTATGGAAAGCTGTAATTCATGCTAGAGGCTAATCTGAAAATTCACATGCAGGTTACTGTCCCGTCGATGGCATCTGTCTTCAATGAGTATGCTCTGAAGAGTCAGTATGACACAAGCATTTATCTTCAGGTTAGATAGTCCTGAACTCCTGATGCATTTTTTTTTTCATCTTGCATCAAGCAATGACATGCTTGTAGTAACATGGAAGCTTCTGGTGATTGGTTCTAGTGATTGTGTTGTCTTCTTCTTCTTCTTCTGTCCTTTTTTCGTATTTGTTGTTTGAGTGGACATTTTTTCTCTGTTGCAGAATTTATTTCTCTATGGCTATGGTGCGATATTCAACTTTCTTGGGATACTAGGAACTGTTATATATAAAGGTATGTGCATTTTATTTTAAAAGTGGCATGGAAGAAAATAATACTTCTTAAGCACCATAATAACCTCTTTAATCTTGTTAGATGATCCTGAAAACTCTTACGATGCATTGCTGAGAAATTTATGATGGTATTGACAGGTCCTGGCAGCTTTGACATCCTACAAGGACACTCTAGGGCTACCATGTTTCTGATCCTGAACAACGCAGCACAAGGGATTCTATCCTCCTTTTTCTTCAAATATGCAGGTAATACTGAGAAAAAGCTTTGTTAGACTATTAATCTGGAGATTGTGGATTTTGTTATTAATACTCAAGGGTATATGTTCTTAGAGCGAAGATTGTTCTAACATATCTTTGATGCTTTTCAGATACAATCTTGAAGAAATATTCATCCACAGTTGCAACAATATTCACCGGCATAGCATCTGCAGCACTCTTTGGACATGTTATAACCATGAACTTTCTTCTTGGAATTTCTATCGTTTTCATTTCAATGCACCAGGTAAACCCATACGAACCGTTTCCTTGGTGAATCAGTTTAACTCTAACACAAAATATTTTCTGTCGAATTGATTTATGTCTCATTTATGCTTTAGTTCTTTTCACCACTTGCCAAAGTGAAAGACGAGCCACAACAGAACGGGAATGTAGAATTAGGCAGTGCAAAAGATACTCACAGGTTAGTGTCAATATACATACTCCTTTACCAATTACTCTGTTTATCAAATCTTGTTCAGACATTTTTAACAAGCGGAAAGTCATCTAATAGATACATGTGTAGTTTTTACACCATTTAACTTGTTTCCCTTCTCTGTTGTTTCCTTCAGGGCTAATGACTCGTTCATCAACATGGCCGCAGGAGCCAATGCAGAGGTAAAGAACAAATTTGTGAAGCCAGTTCTTGTACTTGTCCCAACTATTAAGTCGATTAATATTTGTATTCTCTCTTTGTCTCTGTGTGTCTGTTCAGGCTACTCACCGTGGTGAATCAGACGACAGAACGCCGCTTCTTCCCAGATGATAAGTTTCTTAAAAGTAGGTCACAAATCCTCTCCCAACTTCATCATATTACATTTCAAGCTCCCATAAATCATCCATCTTCTAGATAGATTCTTATCAAAGCAACATCTAGAAACAATCTAGGTTGCAGAATTATGTGAACTACTCCAGTAATATCTGAAATTCGCACTTGTCACTGCAGGATTTTTGATCCGAAGAATTCTTTTGGCCGAGAAATTGGGGGTTTTCCATTCGCATGCTAGCAGGATACAGTGAAGCAAACTTTGACGAGACCAACTCCTACTTCTCTTAAGAGTCGGTGTAAGTTCGTTGAAGAACATCTCATGTCTAAAGGAGCTGTATTGTTTTAAGATAGAGTGAGATATGTATTTTGGATATATAATAAATATTGTATTCTTTGGTTCTTGCAAAATATCAAGTCACTTTTTTGCTCTTTTTTTCTCTTGTTATACACGCATATATATCAAAGCATATTTTTTCAGTCAGTGGATTTGATGAATCAGTAACTGCCATTGTGAGACCTGTATTTTCTTCTTAATTTTGTATCTAAAAACTTATAATTAGTATTCTGTTACCGAATGACATTTTATAAAAGAAGAAAGATAAAATCAAACCAGATATAAATTAAACTCCACCAAACATTTAAAAAGACGAACCAAATCACTACTCATAGTCATCAGCTTGAACAAACATATAACATCCAAACTGAAAAAACGCCCCGACGAAAACACTCTCTTTAAGAACACATTTATATAAATAATATGGCAAACACATGAAACAGCATTAATCATTACACAGAAGAATCAAATATCCAGGGATGGAACAGGTGCTGGTGTTGATGACCTCAATAATGGTTGTAGAGCTTTTACCACAATGCTCATGTTCGGCCTAAACTCTGATTCGTATTGCACACACAACGCTGCTACTGCCGCGAGCTGAAAACACAAGAAGAAGGAGAAAAAAAATCATTTCCTGATTAGCTTCAAAAGTGGTTTCACAGGTTAGAGATTGATGAAACCGTAAACAAAATGAAGCTTTTTTTTCTACCTTTGCAACTGCTTTAGGAGGATATTCTCCTTTGAGTTTTGGATCAACACATTGCTTCACTTTGTCTTCACTCAACCTTGGAGTCGCCTGAAGTTATATATATATAGCAGAGAAATTTTATGCCAATAACAATAGCAAAGATTATCTACAGAAATTCAAAAAAAGGCTTTGAACGCTTACCCAAGTGACAAGACTTTGTTGGCCACGAGGCATTGTATGATCAACAGGTTTTCTACCAGTCAAGAGCTCCAAAAGCACTACACCGAAACTATAAACATCACTCTTCTGTGTCAGTTGACCAGTCATCGCATACCTGCAACACCAAAACATGTAAAAGTTACAATCTTTCAACTTCCTCAAGAACAGTGTGTTGAATTTGTGGTTTCAGAAGCATTCATTACTCTGGTGCATGGTAACCAAAGGTTCCCAAAACTCTTGTAGAATGAAGACGAGCAGCCATATCAGGAGACTGATTCGACAGATTAAAATCAGCAATCTTGGCCTTGAAGTCTTCAAAGAGAAGCACATTGCTAGATCGAATATCCCTGTGTATAACCGCAGGCTGAACTTTCTCATGCAAATACTCGAGTCCTCTCGCTGCATCAACCGCGATCCTCACCCGTTGGATCCAATCAAGCGTTGGACCTGGTTGTGCTCCTTGCACTCCTTTCCTCCCGTGCAAGATGTCATGTAAAGATCCCATCGTGGCGAACTCATAAGCAAGAATACGGAAACTCCCTTCAACGCAGTAACCGCACAGCTGAACAAAGTTATCATGCTTCAGCTTCGAAACCCTCGAGACCTGAGTCAAGAACTCGATATTTGATTCAGGCTCAGCTGCGTTATCAAGCTTCTTGACCGCCACAGCCTTCCCATCTTTCAAGGTGGCATAGTAGGCTCTTCCGTATGATCCTTCACCGATCAATGCCTTTGATCCAAAATTATCAGTCTTTTCTTTCAGCTCATCCAATGACAATGCAGGCACATCAATAGATGGAGGCTCCTTTAAAGCCTCAGGCTTCAAAGCAACCGGTGCTTTTTTATTGTACCCTTCAATACCAAAAAAAAAACACAAAAAGATGAATATCCTTCCTAACAAGATCTGCTCACTAGCAAGAACAATCAACATATTGGCACCAAAATCTCAAAAAGGAATCACAAGTGGTTTGAAAGAAAGAGCAGTACCGTAATCATTGTGGTGTTTGGGGCTTCTCAAGTGTTCGTTTTCAGAAGAATGGTAAGGTTCTTCGACGTGGCAAGCACAGCACAACCACCTACGCATCTTTTCTCTCTTGCCTATGTAAAGATCGTCTACAGCTCTCGGTTTATCCAGCCGAACAAAGTATGGTGAGCGATCGTTCGCCTGCAAATGAGATTTTGACAGAAACCTTATTCATTATCCACCAATCAATACAGAGCCAAAGTAGAGGTTTTTCTTCAAAATTCAAATCAACAGAAACATTTTGGTGATTTTAAGTATTGTTATTTCACTCGTATCAACGAATTCTGATAATATCGAGATTCTAAATACGCGCCTTGATTCGAGATTCACGCTAAAGTTAAAGACCTTTACACAAACCCACGAGCGCTTAAACGTAAGTTCCCAAACTCCAAAAACACCCAACTAGAGCAGATTCGAAATAAAAATCAAAGCTTTTGGATATAATTATAAATCTTACCGCCAGACCACGGCGAGGATAATCAGAATCCATCGGATACATACCCAACAACGCGATTTACAAGCAATCAACGGAGGAAACCAGAGAGACGGATCGAATCAATTTAAGAAATTTTGGCAAAATGAGAAGGAAGAGACGAAAAGGGATCGAGCTCCTGGAGAGAAAAATGAGAAACCCAAAGAGCTCAAAACAACTAGAAACCCCTAAAAGAGCAAAAGAGAGAGAGAAGATAAAAGAGAAAACAGCTAAGAGAAGGTGTCAAAAGCAAAGAGAGACAGAGAGGAACGATCAAGAATAGAACTTTTATCTCCAAAACATAATTAACAAAAAAAACCCCCAAATTTAGAGATTATAATAAATAAAGAGGTGAGGAGAATATACCTGTAAAGTCTATCTCTTTGCGAGAATATCGTATAAGGAGTGTATAAGTATGTATCGGATCTTCTGTTTTGTTGGTTTAAAGATAAGAGGGAAACAGACGTGAGGAATTGAATTTGTTGGACAGAAAAGCATTGAGCAAGGACAGAGAGATATAAAGGAGGAGACAGAGAAGCAAACGCGCTTAAGGAAAATCTTCAGACAGGAGAAGATATTTATTAAAATCTCTTTTTTGATATGTTATGTAGCTTTGCTTTCTGTCAACATCATTCGATGGTCAAGTGTTTTTTCTTCTGGATTAACATTCTACAATTATGATTTTTTTTCTTTATTTTTGCGCGTTGTTTACGTATTTGACCTAAACTGGTCGGTTTCGTCGGCTTTGTTCGACCTTTGGTCCGAAGAAACATTTACAGTTTGTATCAGTTTCTATGAAGAAAATGATAAAAGTGTTTCTCAATGTCATATACAGTAACATTTTTAAAAGATAAAAGGTCTTTTGACCAGAAAAAGAAAGATTAAATGTTGAAAACATTCTAGTTACATTATAATTTAAAAAGTAGTCCAAAACTACAACCGTATAATGTTTTGTTTTTCTTATTGAACAAGAACCGTATAAATTTCGAAATGTAAAAAGTTGGAAAGGATATATTTGTGCATAGAATATAGCTATTTACATAAATTAATCTTCCTATTTTCTGTTTCTTTTATCAATAAACTTACATTGTCATATTATTTCATCGGTTCACTCGGATTACAACAATGTTTACAATCATTGAAATTCTGTTAATACTGAGAAAATAAGGATTGGTCAATCTGATGACATTGTCATAGTGACCCCTTTTAAGAAGAATCATGAAACTGAAGTTCATGAATGGAATATTCAAAAGGGGAAGGTTAGGTTGGGGAGAAAAACAATAATACTCAAAAGAGGGGGTTGACGAGCTATTTCCCCCTTAAAACTATCATTTATCACCAAATCCTCATGAAGTTTGAACATCGGTCTAATTCCACATCGTTTAATAGTTCTCAGTCGATTTTTACACTAGTAAATAGTTCTTTATCGATTCCCACACCAGTAAATAGTTCTCTATCTAATCCCACACTGATTTCAAAACTTTCGGTTATTGTTTAAAAACCAAATGTAAACTGACCGAATTATTCTTAAACCAAAAATCAAAGCCCGATTTCATAAAGAAAAACCCGACCCATAAAATATATGGGGATTTGGTGATGACTATTCGTTGCTTCACGTTTGTGTTCACCGGCGGTCAGCCACAAATGCCTAATATAGCCCCACGAATGTTTACCCCATCCGTTGCTTCACGTTTGTGTTTATTTTTATTTGTATTATTCTTCACGTGTTTCACGTTTATGTCTCAAGAATTTTTTTTCTTTCTTTTCATACTATTAAAATCTGTTTCATACTATTAATTTGTTTTGATCAGCTATTTTAAAAACAAAAAATCCATATTTCAATTGATAAACGAAATTTTTTCGGTGATATGGTAAAAAAGAAAGAAAGATTTTATCTATAATAAATACAAAAAGGAGCAAAACAATTAATCCTTCACTAAACTAAGCTTTAAAATGTCAACGGTAGCTAGACAGCCCTAACACACTCCTCTCTGTTCTCCATAGATTCACCATGATTTGTCACCGGAGAATCTCAGCTACTTCACAAGCTGGAATTTCATTTTCTTTCTGATCATAATTAGTTCTCGTTTATTTCTCCACAAATCGAAGGAAAGAAGAGAGCAATGGTAATGGGTTTTAATTTCAAGGAGATTAAGACAAAGAAGACTTTGATTGGACTTGGATTAGGACAGATCATTTCACTTCTAGGTACCTGTGCTTCGTTTACATCGTCTGAGCTCGCAAGAAAAGGTTAAAGCTTCTTCTCTTTTGGGTTTACACTTTTGCCATTAACCCAGCATATTCTTGATCTGTTTCTGTAATTAGATTAAGATTAGTTTAGGGATTTTGATTAAGTTATTTCCTTTACAAATTCTTGAAAATCTAAAATCTTTTTTTTTTTATAGGAATTAATGCTCCAACAACACAATTACTCCTCACTTACATGTTACTGGCAATAGTCTATGGAGGTATCATGTTGTATCAAAGACCCACAATCAAGGTCAGTATAATGATACTTCTCATCTTGAAAACATTGGTTTCCCTCTGTTTTTCTTTGCTAATTTGGAGAGTGTATTCAAGATTTTCAGTATTGAGTGTCAAAAGCCTAATATTCTAACTAGCAAGTATTGCTAACATGTTCGTAGGCAAAGTGGCATCACTATTTCCTCCTTGCTTTAGTTGATGTGGAGGCAAGCTTTCTCAGTGAGTGTTCTTATATACACACACACTCTTCTTTTGTTCAAGTCTTTGGCTTGCACACTGATCTTTCCTGCGGTTATTGTGACAATCTAATTCGATTTTGGAGCTTAGAAATGTAAATACTTACATCACATTTTGGTTGCTGCTGTAGTAAAAGTAATTCCACTTTTACATTCATGCACTGTGGTGAGATTATGTAACAAGACTCCATTGGTTTTACAGTGGTGAAGGCGTTTCAGTACACATCAATAACACATTCATGCACTGTGGTGAGATTATGTAACAAGACTCCATTGGTTTTACAGTGGTGAAGGCGTTTCAGTACACATCAATAACGAGTGTGATGCTACTGGACTGCTGGTCTATCCCTTGCGTTTTGGTGTTGACTTGGGCGTTCCTGCACACAAAATACCGACTGATGAAGATTAGTGGTGTGGTTATCTGTATTGTTGGTGTCGTCATGGTAGTCTTCTCTGACGTTCACGCAGGAAGTCAAGCAGGTAATGCTGGAAACTGATCCGTTTCATCTGCAAGTAAAACACTCACATAGCCTCAAAGAAACTCGGTTTAAGCAAGTCTAATGATGGTAGCTTTTTTTTTTGTCAGGAGGAAGTAATCTTGTGAAAGGAGATTTGCTTGTGATAGCTGGAGCAACCTTATATGCCGTCAGTAATACAACCGAGGTAAGATAGTCTCTGCAAAATGCTTCATAACCAACCACAAGTGTTGGATTTGACTCTCCTTGTTTCTTTGTTGTAGGAGTTCCTTGTGAAGAACGCAAACACAGTGGAGCTGATGACATTTTTAGGATTTTTCGGCGCCGTTATTTGTGCCATTCAGATGTATCCTTTTTGTATGTGTGTGTTTGTTTCTTAGACTTTATATGCACATTGTCCAGGAAGTTCCTTGACTTTGTTGTCTATAGAGGCATACTTGAACGTGGTGAGCTTAAAGCTATTCACTGGTCAGCTGATGTTGTAAGTTTCTTCTTGCTATCTCTCTTTCACTTTCTCTCTTACCCTTTCCCTTATAATCTCTGCAAACCAACTACTTTTAATCGCCGGTTTCAGGTTATTCCTTTTGTTAGAGTGGCAGTCACGATGTTCCTCTACTACGCATTACTCCCGGTTTTACTCAAGGTAACATGATCAAAACTTTTCATGCCATGACCTCTGAAACATATAACATATCTTGAGTTAATGTAATTCTCAGACCAATGGCGCAGCAATGTTCACCCTCTCGTTACTCACATCAGACATGTGGGCTGTTTTGATCCGCATTTTCGCTTACCACGAGAAGGTTTGTTAGCTCTCTTTGTATATCAAACATCAGAAGCCAGCTGTTGAGATTATCAAGTTGTCATGTATGTATGCATGTTAATATCAGGTGGATTGGCTCTACTACTTGGCTTTTGCTACTACAGCTATTGGACTGATCATATATTCAATGTACACTCTCTTTTCCCTTATCTTTCTTTTAACTCCAAAATATGTTCTGCAATGGTGGTGACCAGTTGGTTTTCCTTTTTTTTTTTTTGAATATTTCTCAGGAAGGAGAAAGATGAGGAGGAACAAAGAGATGACGTGCAGAGGAAGCTGCTCCATGAGGAGGATGGTGAAACACTTTCAGCTTCATAGGTGACTTCGAACCCTCCAAAGCCTGACTTTCCTTTTGTTCTTGTTTATGTCATTGACTCATTGGTTGTGAACTATAAAAGATTTTTGTTTTAAATAAAAAATTAATCTTTCCTGGCATCATCTCATAAACAAAAGAAAAAGATTGACCTAACTCGGAGACACACGGCCGAGTTTCGACGGCGGAGAAGGCCGGTGATGTTTTTGTACGGACACGACGAATCCATCATTCCCAATTTGTAATTGGACCCTCTTATTAGGCCCATGTAGGGCTCTTTTAAACTAAATACAAAAAGGAACAAAAACAATTTTATACTTTGATTGATTAAACTAAGCTATGTCAACGGTTTACAGCAATGATACACCACTCCTCTCCGATCTCTACAGATTCACCATGATTTGTCACCGGAGAATCTCAGCTTCTCCTTCAGCTGGAATTTCATTTTCCTTGTCTTTCCAGGCTGATCTTAAATTCTCGTTTCTTCTCCACAAATCGAAGGAAAGAAGAGAGCAATGGGTTTCAATTTCAAGGAGATTAAGACGAAGAAGACTTTGATTGGACTTGGCTTAGGACAAATCATCTCGCTTCTCTGTACTTGTAATGCCTTCACATCTTCTGAGCTCGCCAGAAAAGGTCAAAGCTTCTTCCTTTTAAAAAAAAAAAAGATTTGGTTACCATTAATCCAGCAGATTCGTGCTCTGTTTATGTAATTACTAATTAGAAGAAGATTAGTTTAGGGAGTTTTGATAAAGTGAATGCCTTTATAAATTCTTGAAATTTTTGAAAATATTTTTATAGGAATTAATGCTCCAACAACACAATCGTTCCTCAGTTATACGTTATTGGCAATAGTCTATGGAGGTATCATGCTGTATCAAAGACCCACAATTAAGGTCAGTGTTGAAATTTCTCAGCTTGGAAACATTGGTTTGCTTTCAAGATTGACACTATTGAGTTTCAAAAGCCTAATATTGGTAACATCTTCAATTGTAGGCAAAGTGGTATCACTATTTCCTCCTTGCTCTAGTTGATGTGGAGGGGAACTTTCTCGGTGAGTGTTCTTATTAATAACGCACTCTTCTTTTGTCGTTGAACACTGATCCTAGAGTTATTGTGAAAGTCTAGTTCCATTTTGGAGCTAAAAAATGTAAAATACTTGCATCACTTTCTGGTCGCTGCTGTAGTAAAAGTAATATGTTCCACTTTACTTTCCTGCACTATTGGTGAGATTTTGAATCAAAGTCCATTGGTTTTATCAGTGGTGAAGGCATATCAGTACACATCGATAACGAGTGTGATGCTACTTGACTGCTGGGCGATCCCTTGCGTTTTGCTCTTGACTTGGGCTTTCCTTCACACAAAATATAGACTGATGAAGATCGGTGGTGTGGTTATCTGTATTGTTGGCGTTGTCATGGTAGTCTTCTCTGACGTCCATGCAGGGGATCGAGCAGGTAATGCTGGAAAGTGGAAACTGATCAGTAAAGTACTTAAAGCGTTTTGTGATGGTAACTTTTTTTTTTCTGTCAGGAGGAAGTAATCCTGTGAAAGGAGACTTTCTTGTTATAGCTGGAGCAACTTTATATGCTGTCAGTAATACAACTGAGGTAAGAAACTCTCTGCAAAAAGTATAATAACAAAAGTGTTGGAATTGAGTCTCCGTGTTTCTTTGTTGTAGGAGTTCCTTGTGAAGAATGCAAACACAGTTGAGCTGATGACCTTTTTGGGATTTTTCGGCTCCATTGTTAGTGCCGTTCAAATGTATCCTTTTTGTGTGTGTTTCTTGAACTTTATATGCACATTGTCCAGGAAGTTCCTTGACTTGTTGTTTATAGAGGCATACTTGAACGTGATGAGCTCAAAGCTATTCAATGGTCACCTGACGTTGTAAGTTTCTTCTTGCTATCTCTCTCTTTCACTTTCTTTAATTCCCTTTCAATCTCTGCAAACCAAATACTCATGTTTTGTATGTGGTTTGTACACTTTCGCGGTTTCAGGTTTATCCTTTTCTTAGAGTGACAGTCACGATGTTTCTCTTCTACTCATTACTCCCGGTTTTACTCAAGGTATGATACAAAACTCAAAACATGATATGATCAATCTGTTTTTGCCTCTGAAACCCATAACATATTTGAGATGTGATCTTCTCAGACCAGTGGTGCAACGATGTTCACCCTCTCGTTACTCACATCAGACATGTGGGCTGTTTTGATCCGCATTTTCGCTTACCACGAGAAGGTTAGCTCTTTCTTATCAAAACATCAAAAAACTTTCACATCTCTGTCTTTAGAAACCAGTGGATGAGATCAACTGGCCTTGTCTTGTTAATGTCAGGTGGATTGGCTCTATTATTTGGCATTTGCTACTACAGCTACTGGACTATTCATATACTCAATGTACACTCTTTTCCCTTGTCTTTCTTTAATTCCAAAATCGGTCCTGCAATCCATGGTGGTGATCAGTTGGTTTTCCTTTTTTTATTACTGTTTCTCAGGAAGGAGAAAGATGAGGAGGAACAAAGAGATGATGTGCAGAGGAAGCTAATCGATGAGGAGGATGGTGAAGCACTTGGAGTCAGCCTCATAGGTGCTTCCACCGGAACCCTAACCAATGCCTGATTTTCTTTTGTTGTTATCTAATTGTCATTGTCTCATTGGTTGTGAGATATAAAAGTTTATCTTTCCAGGGCAAAGCAAAATCATGTGCGTGATTTTCAATGCTTTATGCTCATTACACTAAGAAGTATACAGTAAATGTTAACACGAAGGAAGACATAAAAAATTGATCTTCTGGTTGCAGACCAAAATCATGTTTTATTATAATTAATTAAGCATTAAAAATGTTAACGAATAGCAGAGACGACACTCTCCATGTGGTAGGTATGTAGAAGAAGTAATAAAAGACTCGCCTTGACACTCTTCTCTATACATTCCTCACTGGCTTCCACTGCAGCTTGAGTTTGTTTCTCTGATTGAAAGAAGAAATCTGTAATGGCGTGTTTCAGTTTCAGTTTGAGTGAGATGATCAATACGAGGAAGACTCTGATTGGACTTGGATTGGGACAGATCCTCTCGCTTCTTTCTACTTCTGTTAGCTTTACATCCTCTGAGTTCGCCAGAAAAGGTTCCTCAGCCCATGTCCTCACTTCTTTTTCTTCTTTTTGAGGTCCCAACAGATTGGCATTGCCCAATATTCCTGAATGTTAGTGCTTGTTTACATTCATGCCTTACAAAATTTGAAATCTTTCTTAGGGATTAGTGCTCCAACAGCACAGACGTTTCTGGGTTATTTGTTACTGGGAGTCGTCTATGGAGGTGTTATGCTGTATCGAAGACCCACGATTAAGGTCTCTTCTCTTGGAAACATTGGTTTCACTCTTTGTTAATACTTCCTCTTTGTATAAAAGATTGCACTATTGAGTTTCAAGCTAGCAAACATGTCACAGTTCAAAGTTTCAAACTTTTTGTGTAGGGAAAGTGGTACTACTATTTCCTCCTTGCTCTAGTTGATGTGGAAGGGAATTTTCTCAGTGAGTGTTCTAACTAAAAGAGACTCTTCTTTTTGGGTTTCTTACAACATTTATCACACTTCTATGCTTTAAATAAGTGATGGTGTGGTGGTGTTACTTTACCTTCATGTTACCTGAGCTTCACCAGCTGATGCAACAGTGAAACTAAATTTGTTATGTTCCTACTTTGTGCTTGAGTTTCATGAGATTGTGAATCATTTTCCGTTCGTTTTACAGTGGCCAAGGCATATCAGAACACATCGATGACGAGCATCATGCTACTGGATTGCTGGGCGATCCCTTGCGTTTTGTTCTTGACTTGGGTTTTCCTGAAAACAAGATACAAACTGATGAAGATCGCTGGTGTTGTTATATGTACTGTTGGTGCTGTCATGGTAGTCTTCTCTGACGTCCATGCAGGGGATCGAGCTGGTATATATACATGGTGTAAAATGATCATTTCATTGGATTTAAGCAACACTTATGATCGTGGCGGCATCATTTTTTTCAGGAGGAAGCAATCCTGTGAAAGGAGATTTGCTTGTTATAGTTGGAGCAACATTGTATGCTGTCTGTAATGTCAGCCAGGTAAGAAATTCTCTAACTGACATACTCGGAAGACAGTAACGTGAGATAGCATTTGTAAGTCTCATTGTTCCTCTGTTTTTGTAGGAGTTCCTTGTGACGAATGCAGACAGAATTGAGCTCATGGCCTTTGTTGGCCTTTTCGGTGCAATTATTGGTGCCATTCAGGTGTATCCTTCAAACAAAAACGCTAAGACTTTTTATATTTTGTTAAACTCAAATGCTATGAAGAGGATATGATATTCCTTGACTTGTCCATAGAAGCATATTTGAAAGAGGTGTGCTCAAATCTATTGACTGGTCAAGTGGGGTTGTAAGTTTCCTTGCTACACTAGCGATATCCATATTTTGTCCCTTTCAATCTCAGTGCAAAATTTAAAGTTTCTCCAATTTCTGGTGTTACAGGGTTTGCGTTACCTTGGAATAGCAATCGCGTGGTTTCTCTTCTACTCGTTACTCACAGTCTTACTCAAGGTATGAGCCACACGTAAAACCATACAAACACCTCCTTCACTCTCTCTTTATTGCCATGCCTCTAAAAGACTCAAAACGTATAACATGTTTCCAAAATATGGTCTTCGCAGACCAGTGGTTCAGCAATGTTCACCCTCTCGTTGCTCACATCAGACATGTGGGCTGTTTTGATCCGCATTTTCGCATACCACGAGAAGGTTTGTTAGCTCTCTTTGTATATCAAACATCAGAAGCCAGCGGTTGAGATTATCAAGTAGTCATGTATGTATATGTACGTTAATGTCAGGTGGATTGGCTCTACTACTTGGCATTTGCTACAACAGCTATTGGACTGATCATATACTCCATGTACTCTCTTTTTCCTTTATCTGTCTTTATCTACAGTATCTGTTCTGCAATCATTGTGGTGAGGTTATCAGTTGGTTTTCCTTTTTTTTTTTACTATTTCTCAGGAAGGAGAAAGATGAGGGGGAACAGAGGAAGCTGGTCGATGAGAAGGATAGTGAATCACTTCGAGACAGCCTTGTAGGCAACAACGGGTTCGAGAGCAGCATCATACGCCTTGCCTGAAACAACAAACCTTTCAAGCTAAAAAAACAAGACCATTGTAACACACATAACATATGTGCAATTTTAAAGACCTACTATAATATTACTATTAGTAGGAATCATCTTTAAAAAGGAGTCATCTATAAAATATCATAACAGTCACATACATGACATGCAAGCAATGATGCAACTCATTTGAATTATCACAATCTGAAAGGTGTGCCTCTCTGTCCCTCGTTGAACCATCACATTAACTAATTTCCAAACCCAATATAAAACAAATGTGCTCAAATGTACACATCTCTCGACAATATCAAACCATCAAATTGGTATATAAAAACAAAAATGAAAAATAATGAACTTTGTCGTGGTCCGTTTTTCTACCAGAAAATCTCGTGCTGAATTAATATATACTAAAAAGGATTTTGTAAGCTTTGTTATTGTAAACTTCAAGATATTTTGAAAACAGTCAAAGATTCCTAGAGACGACGACATACTCCATGTCTGTAGATTAAAACTCTCTTCTCTGAATATGTTCCATTGTATTATCTCTCTACATTTCTCCTTACCTGAGAAATCTCAGCTTCCTCTGCAGCTGCAGCTTGGGTTTGTTTGGTTGAAAGAAGAAAACAAGAATGGTGTGTTTCAACTTCATTGAGATGATCAAGAAAAAGAAGACTCTGATTGGACTTGTATTGGGACAGATCCTCTCTCTTATCTTGACTAGTAATGGCTTCGCAGCGTCCCAGATCGTCAGAAAAGGTTCACCAAATCTTTTAAAGCCATTTTTTTTTTTATATATACAGTCATTGACTTACAAATTTTGATCTCTAAATTTTAAGGAATCAATGCTCCAACATCACATTCGTTCCTTGGCTATCTGTTACTAGCAATCGTCTATGGAGGTATCATGCTCTATCGAAGATCACCAATTAAAGTCAGTATTGAAATTATTATTTTTTCTTGTAGTTAATGAGCTTTGTATTTATGAGACTGAAAAGCAGTACACTGCCAAAACAAAGTTGTCTATGTTCAAAGTAGCAATTATTGCTAACACTTTCAATGCATAAAAATGGTTGTAGGCAAAATGGTATCATTATTTCCTCCTTGCTCTAGTTGATGTGGAGGCAAACTTTCTCAGTGAGTGTTCTTACATATACACACTCTCTTCTTTTGTCCTTTGGTCTTGAATTGTAACACTTTGAATCATTTTTCATTGGTTTTACAGTAGCAAAGGCATATCAGTACACATCGATGACGAGTATCATGCTACTTGATTGCTGGGCGATTCCTTGTGTCTTGGTCTTGACTTGGGTTTTTCTGAAAACAAAATATAGACTGATGAAGATCGGTGGTGTGGTTATCTGTATTGTTGGTGTTGTCATGGTAGTCTTCTCTGACGTTCACGCAGGGGATCGAGCTGGTAATGATGGAAACTGAATTCTTTACTAATCACAAGCCAACAAGTAAACACTCACATGATGGTGGCTTCATGTTTCAGGTGGAAGTAATCCTGTGAAAGGAGATTTGATTGTTGTAGCTGGAGCAACCTTATATGCTGTTAGTAATACCTGCGAGGTAAGCAAGTCTTGATTCACAACATACTCTTAAACATGTAATGGTACTTTAACGATTGTTCCTCTGTTTTTGTAGGAGTTCCTTGTGACCAATGCAGACAGAACTGAGCTCATGTCCTTTTTGGGCCTTTTCGGTGCAATTATTGGCGCCATTCAAATGTATCCTTCAAACAAAAAGGCTAAGACTTTGCATGTTTTGATTAACCTTAAATTAAATTCCTTGACTTGTTCATAGAAGCATATTTGAACGTGATGAGCTCAAAGCTGTTCACTGGTCAACTGAGACTGTAAGTTTTCTCTTTTAATCTCTGCAAACCCCTAAAGACTTTTCCATTTATCAGAGTATAAACTCTCAAAGATTCTTTTGCTTTTGTGGTTTCAGGTTTTACCTTACCTTGGACTTGCACTAGGGGCGTTTTTCTTCTACTCATTACTCGCAGTGTTACTCAAGGTATGAAACAGAACACTCTGTTTTCATGCGAGTGTCTCTAGTTATTGCCAATACCTCTGAAACATATAAAAATCTTTTGAGATGTAATCTTCTCAGACCAGTGGTGCAGCAATGTTCACCCTCTCGTTGCTCACATCAGACATGTGGGCGGTTTTGATCCGCACTTTCGCTTACCACGAGAAGGTTTAGCTCAATTTCTATATGGAAACTTTTACATCTATGTCTTTAGAAACCAGCGGTTGAGATCAACTAACCTTTGTTTGTTAATGTCTTAAATGCCAGGTGGATTGGCTCTACTACTTGGCATTTGCTACTACAGCTATTGGACTGGTCATATACTCAATGTACACTCTTTTTCTCTTATCTTTCTTTTAAGTACTCATGGCTTCATCAAGTACAGAGAACAATCCATCTACAGATTCATTCTTCACCTCATTCTTTTTTCATCTTTTCTCAGGAAGGAGAAAGATCAAGAAGAACAAAGAAGTGTAGAAGTGGTAGAAGTGGTAGACGTGGAGGCTGACCAGAGGAAGCCATACGATAAAGATGGTGAGCCGCTTAGTGCCAGCCTTATAGGTGCTTCCAACGAAGCCCTAACCAAAGCCTGAGTTTTTTTTTTTTGTCTGTGCCTTTGGCTATGAGACATTAGATTTATTGCTTCCAGCAAGCAAGAAGAAAGGAACTTTCGGTGGAGAAAAGTTTGTAATATATAACAATTGGTAAATGTAAAGAGTAAACCAGAAAAGGCTTTATTTGATGTTACTTTAAACTGTGGAAACAAAATATGATTTACCATGTGAGAACAACATTGGACACATTAGAGAAGTTGCTTTGAATGTATTATCAACTTCTCTTTTATTCTTAGGTGTTTTCTATAAATTACGACAGTAAATGTAAGAAGCTGCATCTCTCGTAAGGTCACTTGAAAGCTCATCGTTATGTACACAAACGTCAGAGCAAAGAAGTCGTGTAAGTACCAGAAAGATCCAGTGGCAAAACAGCTCCTCCCCTGTTTACTTGTCTTTTTTTGGTGCGGTGATTTTGATCAGTAAATGTGTTTTTCAGCGATATGCATCTTTCATACTCTCGTCATGAGACTTCAATTTCCTTCTGCGTGAACGAGGGAACAGTAGCTGGTGGATCTTTTTCTCTGCTGCCACTTCTGTTGTAGCCTGTCACAAACAATGATGAGAGAAAAGGCAGAAGCATATCAATGCCTTTATGATTCTGCTTTCTTATCGGAAAAAAGTTGTATCTTTGTTGAGAATTATCTCACCCTGGTTTTGAAAGGGAAACGATGAGTTTGGACTTGTGCGCCTGCGAAAACTCTCACATCCATACCAAGACTATCAACACTGATAAGGTTAGCTTCCTGCATGAGATTAGGTTAGTAAACAGAGCGCTAGTGATTAGCCATATTCCAGATAAGATACAATACCTCTGCATGAAGACCCTTCTTTTTGCAAAGAGCTTTAAGGGCAATGCTGGAGTTAATCCCCCTGTCGTTGAAGCGCTCTATTATTGCAGAAGTAGAGTGCACTAGGATGTCTGGCTCAGCATCTTGGAAATCTTGCAAGCTTATAGAAGACTGCAAATAGTCAAAGAATCTACATCAACGCACGGTGAGACCGTTGGAATAAAAAATGAAACACTGAGAGTTTGTATGAAAATGTTAATATCTACTTTTGCCTTCATCCATATGACTTGACAATTTGTTTGGAAAGCCTACCTCAGCTCCATAGAGGGAGAGAAGCTCTATTCCCACAATCTCTAATCTATATAGACTTGAACTCATATCGTCCTCGTCGCGCCTGGAACTAGTGCTTGGATTGTCATTGCCTGAAGAGAAATATCCAAACAGAGGGATGATACAAAATGTCAAACAATGGTACATTAATCTTTTAAGTAATTTAAAGGCGACCTTGAGTCTCCCAGCTATAGTCATCTCTATCTTCAGAGGTAAATAATCTTCTTATATAAGATTCCTCGTCAAGGAAAGCGGGCCTAAGGCATCCGAGTATCGATACACCATTCGACGGATAGTCCATTTTCCTGTCATAGTCCATGCTGATGGCCTGAACGGTTCCATTCAAGAGATACCAACTCAACCACATAGTCAATATGCAATGCAGGACCAGTATGTAAGGATCTGTGTTTATATATAACCTTGGAGAGGTGTTTGGCAAAGTAAATAGGATGAACACTGTTGGCGTTGGAGGTGTCAGGCATTCCCCAATCGACCGGAATATCTCTAGCTTCAGAATCCATAATCTACTCAAAGAAAAGAGTGTTAATAAGACAAGAGACCTGGCATGTTTCGCAAGAAAACTAAGAACAGCTTCATTCTTCAACGTACCTCGAAATAATGGTCATCAAAAATGATTTGGTCAAGATTACCAATCTCCGAAATGTTATATTCCTCATGGAGCCTTGCGTTTTCGTATCGAGGGACATCCATTCCAAAATAGGCTTTCTACAAGTATGTGATCAATACTTCGATTATTAGTTCTCAACTATGTACAGGTACATGACGTTGTAGTTGATTAAAGACACACTTACCACCGGATTACTAGCTCCAGGATCTTCTAAGATGTTCTCATCATCAGGAATGTCGAAAAAGATATCTAGATTTAGGAAAAAAAAAAAAACACGACGAAAACAGAGCTGGTGAGAAAGAATGTATACTAATATATCGAGCAATAAAGATCATAAGACTAACCTCCATAATCATCAATGACGTACTTAAACTCAGACCATGAATTCTGATCATGTGGTTCACAGTGAATAGCTCCAGGAAACACCAGCACAGCACTGCCGTTAGCCTACAAATTAAACCAAGGAACTCAAAACTCAATATAGCAAAGTTCAACACTATTCTTGATCATATGAAACTTAAACAGTAATGATATTTTATTGCTTCCGAGCTACAAACCTCGACCGTTGTCCTTGCTACTTCAGCAGCAGAGAGTTTTGTCTCCTGGACTCTTTTGCTCGGCTTCAGTTCTTCAAGAGGATGGTAGCCGTAGAAAGATGAATCAGGAACCGAATCCGAATAATCAGCAGCAACCGAAACTTTTGTGAGGCCAAGGTCATGTCCACCGGATGATACATGAAATGCTGATCCAAAAAAAGGGATCTTGCATCTGGAACTGAACAGAGCAAATCACCATACATGAGAATATCAGAAAGTTGATAAGATTTAATCTATAGATAAGTCAGATAATCAAGGAAGAGACCAAATTTGTCATTGCATAGACACAAAATCGATACATTTATAGGTGTAATTTTAATTAATACCTTAAAACAGAGAGATTAGCAGAGCCACATCCATCAAATGCACGGTTTCTTGCGCTGCCGCTTCTTTTGTAAGGAACGGAGGAAGAGAAATCATCCGTGTAAGATTGATGGCAATGAGATGGACCTGAAGTGATGAAGACATTCCAAGAATATTCAATCAATGAATTCAAATTACAGAAAACAAAAATTTGACATTTCTGGAAATAAGAAGGAGAAAAGGAAGAAAGATTGAGACTTGATATACAGATTCAATTTCACAATGACATGAATATCAACTTTTCCTGAAAATAAAAAGTCTTTCAAAAAACAAAACTTTACCCATAAATCATTTTCCCAAACAGAGAAAAAATGTAATTAATTTCAGGCGAAAGGCATTAAAAAAAAAATCAGATTGAACAAACAATTTAAAGCCAGAGGTAACCCAGAAACCGGAAAAAATATTCGATCGAGCTAAAGAACAAGCTCGGTTAAAAATGAAACGAGTCAACGAAAAAGGAATATCCGAAATGCTTTCGCCATTAATAAAAAGCTTTGAAGAGGAGTTGTTCAATTGGTCTCACACAGCCATGCACTATCCATTAGGCCATTACCAGCTTCGGATTAATCAAAGAACGATACACGCGAAACCAAATGAAGAGAGAGAGAGATCTCGAAAGTTGGTGAGATACCGAGGGAAAAAGAAGAAGTAGCCGCGATCACCATGATTACAGAAACAGATCGGAGAGGCTGAAATCTCAGCCGCCGAGGAATGTCAAAAGTAGCTGATCGTTGGGATCCCTCGTGTTCGCCGTATTCTTCGCCGTCGTCGCTGATCACGTTTCTGTCTCTTTGTTTGTGTTTACTGTCGCATCTATATTTAATTTGCCATAGACTTCAGAAACTTTCAGCTTTTTGTTATTCTTATTTTATTCATTTTGTTTTTGTTTGTTTTGTTCTCCTTTTTTATTTTGTCGTCATGGTGTGTAATATTGAATTTTTTTTCCGTTATCTATTTGGGTCAGATTATGGGAAGGTTGTTGTGGTTGGTATTTCTTATGGTTTTTACGGAAATCTAAAATTTCAGTTTTATTTGTTTTCATGGATAAAAATGGTGGATGGATATTCCTTTGATTCTTTATTTAATATACTCGTGAAAACTCTTGACTCGGAGACGACCAAATGTGGACTCGTGAGTTATACAGTTTGGTACGGTTTAGCTGGTTTATGTTGTTGATATGGTCCGGTTTAGTAAACGTAGATGAATGGTTCCACTGGCTTTCGTTGGCGATGATATCAACAATTTTTGTTTGTTCTTCTTTTCAGACGTCGGCAATTTCATCCGAAAATGATATGACATTTTTGCCGGGGGGTCATGATTATCATCACTTCGAGTGGTGATACACGTGGCATAGCAAAATGATTACATGACTCTGGTCTCGATAGGCTTTTACTAAACATATTATATACTTGTTTCATTGTTACGTGACTGGAAATGGAATTACAGAACAAATGTATAGTATCAAAAATACATGTATGAAAGGGCAAGTAAAACCCGAGTAGAGGTTATGATGCCATGACAAATTTCTCAAGAAACTCAAAAAGGTCGACATTTATTTTATTGCAAAAAGAGCAAAGATAAATGATGAAGCCGAGGATTTGATCCAATAATAAGACTGACCAAACCCCAACTTACCTTAAACCGGCCAAAAAATTTACAAATCCAGGTCAAAATGGTGGTGCTCTGTTCTTGGATTTTTACTAGTGTAGAAGTAAAGTGGGTAAAACTGTGTTTGGCTCCGATCTTACCGGTATCCTCCACCATAAGGTTGCTCCTGCTGAGGGTTGTAACCACCTTGACCCATCATCGGATTATAAGCACCACCTGGTTGTGGTCCTTGTGGACCAGGAGCCATGCCCATCCCTTGTTGTGGTTGCATCGGGTACCCTTGACCATATCCTCCCATGTTCATGTTCATGCCCATGCCCATTCCCATCGGATGGTTTTGGTTCATGTTCATACCCATTCCCATGGGATGGTTTTGATTCATGTTCATGCCCATTCCCATGGGATTGTTTTGGTTCATGTTCATTCCCATCCCCATTCCCATTGGATGGGTTTGGTTCATGTTCATGTTCATGCCCATTGCCATAGGATTGTTCTGGTTCATCCCCATGGGCATGGTTGGGCCTCCCATTGGGTTCGCTGAAGGTCTCATAGCACCTGCACCTGCACGGCCTAAGCCAGTACCAGATCCCATGGCTTTACCCATGTTGATAGTTGATGTCACTTGTTGTTGTTGTTGTTGTGCAGCTGTTGGTTTCTCTAGCCGTTTCTCCTTCCTGTTGATCGCCTCGAAATCAACTCCTATATCCGACAACGGATTTGTTTTCGCTGCACGGTGAATGAAACGAGGTTAGAAAGTTAGTTCCAAAATTTATGAATATAGAGACTGTGATATATAGCAAGATCTCACTTACGTCCAGATATGTTGAAATTCACAAGCCCTCTGCTTAACGTGTCTGCCCAGATTGTTGATTTCGGCTCAAACTTTTTCTGTGTTTGAGGAGGAACAATCTCAATCGCTCCTGTTAAAGGTGTAAGAGATGGTTGAGAAGCTGAGGTCCCCAAGGAACCTAGTCCAGCTGGTGCAAACATGTCGCCAGTGACATTATTGATATTTCCGTGCGCTGCAACAGGTCCAGACTGAGTTCGCTGTGGTGTATGGGAAGGCATACCATGAGCTTGCTGTGTCATGAAATTTCCACCATCAAACTGACCAGATTGACTTCGATGTGGTGTATGGGAAGGGATACCATGAGCTTGCTGTGTCACACTATGAGGTTGCTGTGCCATGAAGTTTCCACCATCAAACTGACCAGCTTGTGCATTGGGTGTGGTAGAGAAAGGGGTTTGTGAGCTTGATGAAGTGGCGGAACCTGGTTGTGGTTGGTGAGGAAAAATCTCACTTGTTGGGTGTGAAGATAGACCAGGAGGAGTATACTGTGGAGGTTGAGAATGTGGTGAACCTGCATAGCCTGGCTGTTGCATGAAGCCTCCATTGTTGAATTGCATACCTCCAGCAGGATTTTGCGAATGAGGAACCATGTTATACTGTTGTGAAGCTTGACCAAACGGAGTGTGTCCTGACATGTTTGGATCTGTAGGCGCCTGATGAGGATGGAAGCTTTCATACATATTACCGTTGGGAGGAAATTGGGATGTTGGCAGTGTGGGATTTGGTTGAGACAGAGAAACTGGCGGTCCAGATGGCGGGAGAATGCCGGCAAGAATATCGATATCGCTCTGGGATGAGTCAAACTCCTCTTGAGGGAAGGCGGATGAGTCCGGTGGAGCTTGCATATTTTGAACGCCAGCTTCAGGATTAGGAACAGCAGAAAATGGTTCCCCGAAACCAAACTCATTACCATTGTCAGGATTTGAGGTCGGTGGTGCTGGCTGGAAAGGAGCTCCGAAACTCTGATGTTGACTTGGGTCAGTGTCAGCAGAAGTGATGGCTTTGAAAGGAGAGTCACCAAATGGGTCATCAAACGGCTGCACAAGAGGAGAAAAGATAAATAAAGCATCAGGTAATGTTTCCAGTTGAACCCAGTAATATACTTAAGATTCGACTATTTAAACAAAGCTTCAAGCATGAAAGGTTAAGTCCAGTATGAATACCTGAGTTGATGACTGGGAAGTAGAAAAAGAGGGTTCTGAACCAGCGTGTGCTTGTCCATTGGTTTCAAAAGAAGTAGAGTCAGATGTGACGATAGCCAACGGGTTTGGTGAAAATACATCTGAAAGAGAGCCGAGCAAATCCATCTCGGTATTATTCGAAGTGGGCGGTGGGGCAGAAGTGGAATCCACTGTTGGTGGGCTAGGAGCAGGAGCCGAAGCACCAGCTGTTAAGCACACATAATGAAGTATGTTATACAACACCAACACTCAGATCAGAGCAAAATCTTAGATCTCAAAATAAGGTGCTTTTAACAGTTTCTGAAGTATCCGTGAATCCTTAAGGTGCAGTACTGAGGAGTGTATGAGAGAAAACACTACAAAAGAATCAGCATGGAGAAGACTATACCTGAAACTGAGCCTCGTGGATCAAATTCATCAAATGCCTCAACTGGCTCTGGAGGGGATTCGTTAACAAATTCAGGAGCTTTGTTGTCCACGCTGCTGCTTTCAGCAGGGGGAGAAGCAACAGCTCCTGGAGGAGCAACTTGTGGGGTCCCCCCACCATCCCTGAATCAATAATTTGTCATCTGAAATTCAGACTCCCGAAAAAAAAACAGAGGCACTTCTCAATTTGTACTGTAGAGAATTGTCACCTTTCACTGTATACAGGGCTCCGTGATTCACTGACAGCTTCTTCATAACTAGGTGGGGCGGCACCAATATTTTGTTCAGAAAACTTCCTCTGTAGCCCCACTCTATCGAATCCCGAAAGTAAGAGGTAAGACTGACATATTTTTTTCCAAAATACTTGATACAATACAAATAAAAGGAAAATCCAAAATCAGCAAACATCTCAGAAATTACCTCCCATCTTGAGAATGATCATCAGCTCGTGTACCACTGTCCCTACAGGAATAAGCGGAATGTTTTCATCAAATTTCTGAAATGATGCTCAGGACGAGCTTTACTACATAAAGGGCATCTACTATTCCCCATCCGGATATATTTACTCTTACAATTTAAGTTCAAATAAAAGCCAGGACCTTAAAAAAGTAATCAACATACCTTGACGAAGATTGACCATCATCCTCAAAAGACCGTTCCCTGTCCGAGCTCCTACCTCTTGATCCAGTTTGGTAGTTATCAACACTTCTGCTCCTTCCACGGTATTCATCATCCCTGTTACCATCCCTTCCATATCGTTCATCAGAGTCTCTAGAATAACGATCTCCATCACGACTATTCCTATCATCATCCCTGTAACCAGATTCTCTTTCTCTCCCATAACTACTTCGCCCTTCATCTCTGTCTCCATAGCGGCCATCATAATCATAGCCTCCTGAAGGCCTACCTACTGTTGAGTTACGATACCTGTTGTACAGAAAAATCTCAGGTTTGGGGAAATATGTTTCGTTTCTCTAAGAAAAAGATTCATTAAAAAAAAGGCGCTCATAATGCTCAAGGGAAGTAGTATCAAATTGATGAATTCAGTAGGAAGCATATGCAATAGTGAAGCTTGGCTAGTCAGCATTATTAATCAAATATAAGCACATGAATTTGACCCTGTGAGGAAACAAACTAACGATTCTAGAAAGTTACACTGAGAGGCAGACTTACTTGTCTCTGTTAGCAGCAGCCTTCTCTCTGACCTCTACTATTCGTTCTTTGTCATTTACCAAAGCCACAAGGCTCTGTGCCTTCTTCCTGACATTGATTCCTTGATCTTTACCGCTGGAATCAATGTACAGAAAATGGGACAATATCTAGCATATGAAAAAGTGATAAACTCCATCAGTAAGATAATCAACAGCCGAGATGCAAAAAACTCTTCTTGTTGAAGGAACCCAAAATAACTAACTACTATGTGGTCATTACCGAAATTTGATATGCACGTTCTTTAACCTCGTCTACGACACGTTCTGATCCATGGCCAACCATGTACTCCAAGACTGTCAATGCCTGGAGAGTAGAAAAGAGATACCCAGTATAAATTAATTTCAGTCACAGCGACAGTACTATAAGCATATGAAAAAAAAAAAAGCTCGGAGTATATATTATTTTTACCTTATAGACATGCCTCCAATTTTTTCCAGTGTCACTAAGACGTTTCCATAACACTCCCATGGTCAGCTGGTATTCATGGCTGCATGATAAAAAGTATATATAATACGTCCATAAGATAAGTTTGATGGAAAAGGATGACAGGATAAAGGTATTTGTAGTTACTAATTTCTTGAAGCATGCGCAATATCCGCAAGAAGTGATCCATGCGGACCCCATGACTCGTTGCTGGTAGCATCTAGAACCTGAACAAGAAAAATAAGTACAACTGAGAGAAACAAACAAAATGATAAGCATGTTTTATAAAATCTTCCTTCTGTTCAGAAAACAGAATGCTTTACCTTCTGTTCAATTCCAGGTACTTTAAGCACTTTCTTGTTGACCCCTCTCTTGCTACAAGAATTGTATCAAAAAATCATTTTAAGGCATCTTCAAGGTAAAATATATAATCCGCACATGGATTGAAATATAATTCTAGATTGAACTCCAATGCTTACAGGTCTCTGACAGTCTGACCAAATGCTTTCTTCATATCCAAATGTGAAACTCTGCTTTTTATAGTAAAAAGGTACTACTTAATAGACTGCTCCGAATGTCAAAAATAGCTTTCACTGTCAATTGTTTCAAACAAATCATCAATCACCAAAAATGGTAAAACAAAGAGTCATATTAAAACAAAAATCTTGCAGTTTTTAAACTGGATAAGAAAATGGAAAATAGGAACCCAAAATGAATCAAAATAACCCCTCACATTCAAATGTAAGACTTCCTAAGGAAGAGTACAATGCATGAACCAAATTAAGCAAGCATAACAGAAGCATTCATCACCACCACAATAAGACAGATTCCTAAAAAGGAAGATCAAAGCATCGAATAAAATAGCAATCACACATAAATCAGCAAAAATGACGTGTTTGTGTTCCAATTTTTGCTCAAATTCAACCTAATAAACTATTTCAAGGCTATACAAAGAGCCACATCGCAACAAAATCTCCCAATACAACACAGACCGACAAATCACCGACACATTTGGAAATCGATTTCAAATGGTACACAGTCAATGGCTGATCCAATGCGAAGAAGGACATTCAAAATGCAGCTTCTACGTATCTCAAAAATTTATTCCGTGCCTCTGAATTTAGTCTTCAAAAACGATTTACAATTCGATCAAAACAGACATCCCAACCGAAAACATGAAATGAGAAATTCAGCTGAAAATTCGATGAAACACAGATCTAAATGGAAATCAAAATCGTAAACATGAATCTGATCTCATGAACAACAAAATCAATCAAACCTGCTGGAAAAGGAAATTGGATCGCGGATCTATGAGGCACAGGAAAAAAAAATGAGAAGAAGAAATCGAGACAGATATGTGGGGGAGAGGAGAATGGGAAGGAAGAAGAGAAATCCTTGGAAACTTGTGCGATGGATTCCCTTTTTTCTGCGTTTGGTTTTGGTTTGGCACTTTTTTCCTCGTCTTTCTCTGTTTAACCGAGAGGATCACAGTAGCCAAAATTCGGAAGAAAAAAAAAATTAAATAAATAAATAAAGACAGCGCATTTATCACGCAGAAAATTAAGGGCTTCAAAAGATTTTCTTTTTAATTATCGTTCATCCCTTCTTTTTCCTTAGCACCAAAGCTGCTAAATTACATTCACTACTTTCGTTCATTGAATTAGAAAATTTGTAAATGCCCCTTAGAGAAGATTTGTTTAAGGGTAAATCTATAGTTTAGTGGACTAAAATAAAATTATGTATAACAAAATAAGCAAAAAATTTTATGAGTGATTTTTACACTTTTTAGAAAGAATATAGCTACAATTTTTATTTTTGTAAATGAATAAAATAGATTTATTTAAATGTTTAATTTTTGATCATACTATTCAATTCAAACCAGGCTTCTAATTTTTCAACGGTCGATATTTATCCACCAAATAGAGATGGGCCTTATTTGTTAACAGCCAAGCCCATTGGATGCTATTAGGAAATTTTCCGTGGGCATCAATCCTCTGCTTCGTGCTGGTGGTCATCCCGTCTTCCGTGTTTCTCCTAAAATATTATTACAGGAACACGAACACAAACACAAGAACAGAGAGAACCCTAGATTGTTCTATTCCCTCCTTCCAGATTTTATTTCTCTCCCCACCACGAAAACGAATCCAGATCTCGTTTGAAAGAAGCATCTTATCAAGTTTCAATCAACCAATTGGCTGCCATGGTGGGTTTTTCTCTCTTTCGAGTTTTCCAGTTTTTGATTTTTTTTCTTGCCGCTTTAATCTATTGGGTGTTCCTATGAAAAAATCGTAAAATCAATCGATTTAAGCCTCCGTTGGGATATTTAGTTAGATTTATGTCGTTGAGCTGTATAAAGCCGAGAGATTGATGGGTTCTATGAATTGGGTTTGAATTATTCAGCTGGTTGACTCATTCGGAATTCTATTTTTCCTCTTGGCATTTTTGCGATCAATTCCCTTAAATTTAGGTTTTTTCTTTAATTGCTGACGGCCTCTGTCCTCGTTGCATGATTGATTGAAATCCATCTGTATTAGCATTAGATTTGCGGTCCTCTTTTGTTCTTTCTGGATTTGATCTTCGGGGAAATGTTTGCAAATCGATTCTTTAGCATATATTAGTTGCTAAAGGCCTGGGCTTTATCATTTTGCGTTAGTTCCAATAAATCTCATTTCTTTCATTTACAGGCTGGGAAATTACTTGCGAATTTGATTGTGATGGGAAGTGGGATTCTTGGTCGTGCTTTCTTTCAAGCTTATCGTCAGGCTCTTGCAAGTAAGTTTCAAAACTTTCAAGTACGATAGGTTTTTGACATCAAGTGGTTGCTTCATGAATGTAACGATGGCTTGCTCTCTTAGGAAGATCTGTTTTCAATTGATAGTTTGGTTACAAGTTGCATTTTCAAGGGACTAGTGATTCTGTTAAGTAGCTCCTTGAAATTTTGTTACTACTATTATAATGGTTTATATGTTTCCGAATCAAGTCAAAGTGTCGTGTTTCTTACCCAAAACGCTTGTTTTGCAGATGCGTCGAAAACTGGAGCTGCGCAAGAAGCAATGCAAAATGCAGTACGAAATGCAGGAAAAGTCATTAATGAGCAAGAGGCTAGGCAGATTCTTGGTGTAACCGAGAAGACCTCTTGGGAAGAGATATTGCAGGTAAAAACTTTCCTCTTTCATCATATTTGATTTCTCGATTTAATTTGAATACTCTGAAGTGAATCACTAAAGGGAGTTGGTCCTATAAATGTGTGAATGCAGAAATACGACAAACTGTTTGAGAATAACGCAAAAGCTGGGAGCTTTTACCTTCAATCGAAAGTTCTTCGAGCCAAAGAATGTCTAGAAGTTGTATACAGGAGCAAAGGAAACGGCACACCTAGTTAAGAGCTTACATCTTTTTTTTTGTCTTCTACAGATTCAAAAAAAATTATTGCTCTCAATATAAAATCAAGATGATGTCACGCTTCTTTGAGATGATGTGGAACTTTAAAGAAACGGCCATAGTTTTCTTCACCCATTGATGATTAGTAATAAACCAAATAACTAAGTCGGCTTTGCTCTGATCAATTGATTAGTGTCAAAGAGCCTCTTAAAACTAGAATGGTTTGTTCTACGTGTGTTTGTTGTATCTTTCACTTCAAAAAGGAGACTGTTTAAAGGTTTTGCTGTTCCAAACTGATTATCCGCAGTTTGTAATGTATATATAATAAGATTACTTTATTAATTGAGTGGCTCTGTATGATATGTAAATGCATTGAGAAAGCTAAATCTCAGATCATGTATATAAGCTAAGTGTGATTTGATCTTGTGTTTGTGAAATGGTGTGACATCGGGTGAACCGGATTGAAGAAATTTTAAAACCTGACTTGATAAGCAAACAAATTTCATTTCATAAGGGTTGATTTGATACAAAATAAAAATTTCTATGCACAATAAAACAAATGATTACGACCCAATTTTGGCAACTCGAATTGAAGAAGCGAAGATGAAAACGTGAAAGGAGATGAGTAGTCCTATCGAAGTGGAAGTGAAGTGGTTCGTCTTGAGAGAATCGTGATCGTTGACTGAAATGTGACGATCCTTATTTGGTTCACTTGTTGATCTCCTCTTACACCTTTTCTTTATTCCATTTTCTAAAAGAAAGCCTGTAAATCATTTGCAAAGACAGTAGTAAAGATGGTAAGTAATTGAAGATTTTAGAAGAGAAGAAGTTGTTTAGTATCAAACTTACTTGAATGATGGGGGAATTTGGTTGAAAATGGTGAGTCTAGTAGTGGATGGGAGGTGGGGGAGAAGCGTAGATGTAGAGTGGAGGAGACTTTACGGGAGGTGGCGGAGAGTTGTAGTGGTATGGTGGTGGTGGAGATTTGACCGGAGGAGGAGGAGATTGGTAGTGGTATGGTGGTGGGGGAGACTTCACCGGTGGTGGAGGAGATTGGTAGTGATACGGTGGTCGGGGAGATTTGACTGGAGGAGGTGGAGAGTGGTAATAATACGGTGGTGGCGGGGATTTGACCGGTGGGGGAGGTGAATGGTAGTAGTACGGTGGTGGTGGTGATTTGACTGGTGGGGGTGGTGAATGGTAGTAGTATGGTGGTGATTTGACCGGAGGGGGAGGAGAGTGGTAGTAGTACGGTGGTGGTGGTGATTTGACCGGTGGAGGAGGAGAGTGGTAGTAGTATGGTGGTGGGGGTGATTTCACCGGTGGGGGTGGTGAATGGTAATAATACGGTGGTGGAGGAGATTTGACCGGAGGCGGGGGAGAGTGGTAGTAATATGGTGGTGGGGGAGACTTCACCGGAGGAGGTGGAGAGTGGTAATAATACGGTGGTGGTGGAGATTTCACCGGAGGAGGTGGAGAATGGTAATAATATGGCGGTGGTGGGGATTTGACTGGTGGGGGTGGTGAATGGTAGTAGTATGGAGGTGGATGAGAATGAGTTGGTGGTGGTGGAGACTTGTATACATAAGTAGGAGTTGGGGGTGGTGGAGATTTGTAGACATAAGTTGGTGTTGGTGGTGGTGGTGACTTGTAAATGTACGTCGGAGTTGGAGGTGGTGGAGATTTGTAAACGTATGTCGGCTTTGGTGGCGGTGGAGACGAGTAGTGGTAAACGGGAGTTGGAGGTGGTGGAGAGTTATAATAGTAAGGTGGATGGTAAGGAGCTGGTTTATGACATTCCTCATAAGGCTTCTTAGGTGCATAAGCAAAGGACTTGGCGTAAAGCACAACCTCGTACTTAGTCTTTGATTTCACATGAAGCCTAGCACCCTTGTTACCCAAATGGTAACTTGTCGGAATATTACACGGTGATCCCTTTGGTGGCGCGTGAAGTTTTGCCGTGCAAACCTCGCCGCCGTATTTGCGGTAGTTGTATCCTTCCACGGTGATTGCGTATTTACCGTTGATCTTTGTCTTTCCGTACGCTTTGACCGTTTTGTCTCCCGCCTTACATGTCACCTCCACGACAGCGCCTACGTGACAAAAAAAACAATTTAAATATTCCGCTGTTTTTTTTTTTCTCTATAGAGAAAACATAAGCTTGTGAATTTATTTCCTCTTTTTGAGTTTGGATATTCATCTAGCTCAAGTCAACAACAAATCCCTGTCTCTCTCTTTTAACAAATAAATTGTAAAATCGTTTTCTTTTGTCCGTTAACCATATAGATATGTACACTGCAAAATTTCAAAGTTTTTTCACTGTCGATAGAAATTAGTTTGTAAATTTACCTTTGAGATGCTTTTTGTCGTGGGACTTTTTGGGGTTAGTCCAGTCGTAGCATCGGTAGCAATAAACTTTACCAACGACTTTAAATACGAGTGGTTTGGGGTGTGGGTGAGGATGGGGATGAGGATGAGGGTATGATACCGGTGGTGGTGGAGATGTGTAGTAGTATGGTGGCGAGTACGATTTGGGTGGTGGTGGTGGGGATGAGTAGTAGTAAGGCGGTGAGTAGGTTTTTGGTGGTGGTGGAGGTGATTGGTAGTAGTATGGTGGTGGTGGAGATTTCACCGGAGGAGGAGGAGACTTGTAGTAGTAAGGTGGTGGTGGGGAGTTGTAGTAGTAAGGAGGAGGAGGGGATTTCACCGGAGGAGGAGGAGAATGGTAGTAGTATGGTGGTGGAGGAGACTTCACCGGTGGAGGTGGTGAGTGGTAGTAGTAAGGAGGAGGAGGGGATTTCACCGGGGGAGGAGGAGAATGGTAGTAGTATGGTGGTGGAGGAGACTTTACCGGTGGAGGTGGTGAGTGGTAGTAGTAAGGAGGAGGAGGAGACTTCACCGGAGGAGGTGGAGAGTGATAGTAGTATGGTGGAGGAGGAGATTTCACCGGAGGAGGTGGAGAATGGTAGTAGTATGGTGGTGGTGGAGACTTCACTGGGGGAGGAGGAGAGTGATAATAGTATGGTGGAGGAGGAGATTTCACAGGAGGAGGCGGTGAATGATAATAGTATGGTGGTGGTGGAGACTTAACCGGAGGAGGAGGAGAGTGATAATAGTATGGTGGAGGAGGAGACTTCACTGGAGGTGGCGGAGAAGTGTGGTGGTACGGTGGTGGTGGAGATTTTACGGGAGGAGGTGGAGATTTGTATTCATAAGGTGGTGGAGGAGAACTATAGTAATAAGGTTCCGTTGCCAATGTGTAACCCACGAGCATTGCCAAAACAGCAACCATCAAATGATTCCGGCCGGCATGACTCCATGCCGGAGTTGCCATTATTATTCACCGGTGACTAATTATATCTTAAAAATAGATGTTTAATTGTTTGTTTTTGATTAAGTAAGGAGAGAGGTAGAGAAGATGTTTTAGAAGAGATGGTTTGTGTTATTTGCATGGATAACACTCTGTTTATATAATGGAAATTAGGCTTCGGAGGTGTGCTTCGTTATTCGGAAGCCGGTTCAATATTTTTGTACTCTTTTGATTGTTTCCTCATATTTATTATTAGTATCTGCTGGCAATTATTCATTTTAGAAAAAGCCAATTACGGAGAACTTGTTTAGAAATTATTCATTGGGTCAAGAAACTAATCTTCAACTACCCAATTGAAAATTCCCAATTCTGATTGATAATTGATACAATTTTTGGTTGATTCTAGTATATAGTATAATAGTACTAGCTAGCTGCTTGTTAACCTGTGTTAATCAAAATGACGTACACATTAGTTCAATTAATTCAACGATTTATATTATCCTGATATATGTGTATCAGATAGAACATCATAAAGTTTCGTGACCAAGTTCACAAGACGAAGTAGTATCTAGTAAGTTTGTTGCCAAAAAAATGGGGGGAAAGTTTGTTTAAAAGGCATACATCATGCATATGTAAATTCAAAACATTGTAAAGTAAATAACTATTAATGGAAAATAATTATAAAGGTCATAATAAGTTACTGAAGTCAACTATGTATGCTGATTTATAAAAGAAATAATGATCACTGACTAGAGAGCCTGTCTATGATAGATGAAACCGAGTTACACAAAATAATAATTACATCGATTGGACCGAATGATGAATTACGAAAATTATGAACTTCAAGTTTATTATATTAATAATAATGAAGAATAGACATGCGTTAGAAGAAATTGTGAATTTGATATAAGAATATGTGTTGCCAGATTACTTGTTTTATGGGTTTTCAAGTACTCTTTTTTTCACCGACACGTTGAATATGCGATAAGACTTCGAAAGCTTATCAAACCATTAACATAAAGTAAAGCAATAATCTCTTTGTATCGCGAGTATCCTGTTGATAATTGGGAAAATCCCATAGTAGCAATGCACATATTTGTTCTTAGTGAAAATGGTCTGATCAAAACTAACGGACAGATCGATTGGCGGAGTTTTGCGCACCGCAACGCCAACATTCGTACTTGTTAGTTGTTACCTTCAAGATCACGTTACAAAGATGATTACATATATTATTATTTTTGTATTTTTTTCATTAAAATAAAAAGTTGGTATTTACGAAAAATAACATATGAAAATGTAGTATTTTAAAATGAAAAGTGGCTATACAAACATGTCTCGACAAATTGATAAAAGAGACAAATGGTTGGAATAAGTGTTTGCGAACGATTACAAATTCCACTTCCACATGCTTGCAAAGGTAACATCACATGGCCACGTGTCGGTCAAATTCTCTAGTTTGCCACCGGCTCAACAAGTTACCTCATTTTGTTGAGTGTTGTGTTTACTTTTGTTACCATAGGTAGGGAAAAAATGTCGGAAAAATTATCCGTAAATGTAACGATCTAGAAAGTAAAAATGGAAATAATTGTGAAGAACTCTGCATAGTCGATAGTGCATACGATATTTCTTTGATGCTTTTGCTTTTCTTTTATCCCTTTATCACTTGTGGTATCAATCCTAGAAACTTCTCCCTTAATTTTACAGGTCCAATTTTGTTTCAAATGATATTAGGTTTTTCAGTATATAAAGTTTCTTGTAGTGTAACAGAAACAAAATCCAGCACCTAATAGTGATAAGAAAATTAAACTAAGAAATTGACACATTAACGGAGTCTTTAACTAATCTCCATTAACAAAGTGACGCTGTACACTTGTCTGAGACCCAACTGGCCAGATATTTTTACAAATTTATAAACACCAGATTCGATTCGTCTCATAACTTGTCTTTCACTCAATTTTATGTTATGTTTACTTATTCTTTGATAAAAGTTTTCATTTTAATTCTTGATACGAAAGAACGTTTCGGTGAGTGAAGGTACTCTACCCAAGTTTTTGGGTGTGTCTTATGTTCAGTGGTGTCCTTTTTTTAACTGTCATCTAGAATGACATTCCAATGCTTAATATTTTGTTAAACCAATATTATATAGATAATAACATAAATGACATTCCAATGCTATATTAGCTTATTCCTAATTTTGTATGTAACGGTTATAGCAGCCATCACCAGTTCACCACTAGGTCCCATGCATGCACACATAGGTTTGGTCAGATGAACTTTTTTGAGAAAATCTTGGACCATCTTTTGCTAAACGTTGGACCAATCCTTTTTCTCAGAAGCTCTACAACAGAGCGCACCTTTGTTCTTTTTTTTTATTTTCATTTCTAGCACATTTTCTCATAATTTTACAATATATTTATGAAACTACTTTCATGCATTTCCAACTTTCGAAAATGTGCCGATTACTAATTTACTATCTAAGGAAAAAAAAAGGACGTAAACTGAAAAATTACATAAAACGAACCAAATATGATATCATCCTTAACGGGGCAATTACTATCATTTACAATGGGCCACATACTATCTAACACTCTGTTGCGAGACTAGTAAAAGGTAACGGGGTACTAACGTTGACGGTACCCTAAATCGGTACGTGCGTGTTAACGGAGACGTTATTTCGGGGGATTCTAACGTCGTCAAGTCCGCCTCACGCAGGGGTAATATCGTCTCAAATTAATTATATTTTCCAAGGTAAAATAATTTTAAAAAAATCAGAGGATTTGACAACACTTTAAAAGCAAAATCCAGCATTGGAACTCACACATCCCTCCAAAATGATTAGGGCTACAATTTGCCAGAAACCTAATTTCCAATTTTAACTTACATTCCGCTTCACATCTGATTTCTTCCAAGAAAATCACAAAAAAAAACTCAACAGTTGTGTCATTTGGTGGCCTCTAGTCCTTATCCCCAAGTAAGTTTCTCCATCATCTTTTCTTCTCATGTAGTGTCTGGTTATTAACTGCTTGACAAGCAAATACGCGTTTTGATTCATATCAGTTCATGATTTTCTTAAAAATAGGAACTTTACGATTGAGCAAAAGACTAGAAAGCTTGAAATTTGAAACTGAGAACGTTTGATTTTAGAATACTTGAGCTAGTTTTTTGTTTTTGTTTTGGGGGTTCTTTTATGTTCAGGCTGTATTGGAAAAGATGGATCTTGAGTTCGATGATTCAGAGTTTATGCATCCCACTAGAACCAAAAAACAAGATAGGGATGAGATCCGTAAAGACTTTATCAATCTCGTGGACTGTATGTTGGCTTTGCAAAGGAACGAGCCCTTGAACAGATTCTCCATCAAGTGTAAAGACGACGTTGGCTCAGCTCCTGTCATTGATTGGATAAACAAAGTCTTGAATCTCGATGTGTCCGAACTTGCTCTCCACATCTCTTCGCATTGGGATTGGCGTCTGTCTTCAAAGGTTGTTGTGAGCGAGACAATGGTTCAAGAATTTTGGGAAGCTTGCTCTGTAGTATCTAGCAGAAGCCTCAAGAGACTAACGCTTCGTCTCCAGCAAAGACTCGATGGGAATCACAAGAGCGTCTCGTTTGACACACCTAATCTCGTCTACTTTGAGTATTCAGACACTATTGCAGACCAGTATCCGGTAGTGAAGTTTGATTCGCTCGTTGAAGCTAGCCTCGATCTTCGGATGACACATGAGCAGATCCGCAAGGCAAAGTTCTCGAACGATTACTTCTTCAAACCGGACGAGGAGACGATGGTTGGTAATGCGACGGATCTTGTTATGGGAATCTGCAATGTCAAGACTCTTTACTTATCTGACAACACTCTTGAGGTCAGTCTCAATCTTTGTCTACGTACTTAAAGATCATAACAAGTGAGTGGTGATTGAGCAAAACTGGTTTTGTTTCAGGTACTCACTTTCTGTTGTGAGTCAATGCCGACATTCGACAATCTGCTTCAGTTAACTATCAAGACCGACCGAGAAGTAGGCTGGGAATCATTGCTGGTTCTACTCAAGAACTCTCCAAATCTTGAAACTCTTGTCTTCCAAGTAAACAACATATATTCTTTTTATATTACTGAAATCTTGAAATCCTTGTTCTTCGAAGTATCAATTAGTTTGATTTTGTGTGTTGTTAGGGACTTCTCCACAGAGAAGGAAAGAAATGTGGAAGTGAGGAGTGTTTGTGCAAACCCTGGGAGGAGGAAGGCATTCCTACTTGCCTATCTTCAAGTCCTGTGAAAGTTTTAAAGATATTGAAGTTTGGAGACTGTGAAGATGAGGACATGGGCAAAGAGATGGAGCAGGTGCAGTACTTTCTTCAGACAATGCCAAATCTTGAAGAGCTCATAATACACTACGAAACTTCAGCTGACGAAGATGTGGATGAAGTGTTTAGCGAGCTTGAGATGGTTCCTAGAGATGGTTTAACCAAGTGCAAGATTCAAGTATTCCCTGATAGCTTCAACCTGTCAACTTCTTAAGCTTTGTTTCCTTTTCATGGGGCAAAATGGATTTCTCGGATTTTGAAACAACCTTTCTGGTTGGTTTCTCAAGTGGATTCACTCATGTCTCTTTTTACCATATCAAGCCCATGATCAGTGTGTCTCGGCTTTAAGTTTGTAATAGTAGTTCCTAATGACTTGTCTTTTATTTATGCTTTCGTTGGTTAGACCAGCAATGTTGACTTCAGTGTTTTAGTTTTCAGTTCTTCTGAGTATAAGCTTTGATTTGGCAATCTATTGAAACCATCTTAAATCTCAGAGAAGATCAAACAAAAATTTTGGTTCACTTTAACGAAAATGAAAAGGATCAAACTGTAAAACAGCTCTGATTAATTAACTTCTTGAAAAGTAGCATGTTGTGATTCCCTAACATTGATATGATATTAAAACGTAAGATAAAGTAAATGTCAACCAAAGAACAAAAATAGCTGTCTTTGGATGTTATTGTTTCAAACTCTTTTCACTCTGACTTCCAATACTTGGCCATTTCGAAGCCATTCTTGGCGTTGCGATAGTCCCCAATGGTCATATCAATCTCAGCCTGTGAGTTCATAACAAATGGCCCGTGTTGAACCACAGGCTCGCCGATCGGTTCCCCTGCAATCAGCAAGAATCTCAACGGCCTAGAGCTTGACGTATTCCACACGCTAACTTGATCCCCTGTTCCAAACACCACAACACTGTGTGCTTCTACTGTGGAAGAGTCCCAGGAGCTAAACACGCCTTCATCGCCTTCTATAACGTAGGCGAAGGCGGTCCATGTCTCTGGAACGGTCTGGTGGGTTTGAGACCTTGGCTCGAGAGTAAAGTCAAGAAACATGATTGGTGTTTTTGTATAGAATGGTGATTGCACTCCCATTGATTCTCCGGCTATGACTTTGACCTCTACTCCATCTTTCTCCGCTCTCGGAATCTCTGAACTCGACAGCTCTAGGTTCTGTGGCTCGATCCTATCGAAAATAAAAGACGAAAGAGCTTCAAAACACTGAGAAAGCTCAAGGAAAGAGGATCTTTTTGAAGAATGTTGTTTTACATTTTTTCAGTGGAAGGGAGGTTGATCCAAAGCTGTAAGCCGTTGTTGACTTCTTCTGCAGGCATTTCGGAATGAATGATTCCTCTTCCTGCTGTCATCCACTGTAATGAAACCAGAATCAAAAAGGATGAAACCAGAAAAGTTAAGCTCAGAGGATTCATTCAATTGTTTGTTTTTCTTCACCTGAACATCTCCTTCACGTATTGTACTCTTATGACCATTGAAGTCTTGGTGAATGATTCCTCCCTGCATCAATTTAAAACCATGAGAATATTCAAATCAAGATTCAAGAATCTAATCCATAAAGAATATGGAAGAGTCTTTAATTTCTCTCACCTGAAGCATGTATGTAACACTTTCAAAACCTGCACAGAGTTGATCTAGTTACATCAGAGACATTACATAAGAGAAGCAAAATTGTGTACATATGTATAAGAATGAAATATGTGATTTGACCTCTGTGAGGATGATCTCTGAATCCACCTGGAGGTGAAACTGATCAAGAAAACAGAGCAAAACAGAACAAATAATAGCTGCTTAGATCCTATAATAAATCAAAATCAAAATCGTAATCATAATTTTTTACTTTATACATTGGGAAGTAAAAAATAATAATTACCGGAAAACTCTACTAGCGACACGAACGGGTCCAATAACTCATGGTCAGCCCTGATTGAAACCCACAAGAAACAAACATATATGAAACTTGAAGGTTAAGGCATTGAGTTTTAACGGAGAAAATTGAGAAAGAAGAAAAAGAAAACACACTTGGTGATGCCTTGTCTAATAACAGCACCATCACTTTCATCCTCAAAATTCGCAAATATCTTTTTCATGACCTGTCTCGATGACATATTGATGATTATGATGAGGATAAAACTCTGTTTTCGTCTATATATCTTCTGTCTCTGTTGGTTGCACTTAAAAGATCAATAATAACTAAAAGCTTTTTTTTTATGGATTTCTTTTTGGCGTGCTTACATATTTATGTCTTATATAAAAAATGCAAATTGGTTTAAAAAAGGAAATTGGGAAATTGATTGCTGCTTTAAGTAATTTATATTTTATACGAGTAATCATAACTGGAAACTTTCTATAAACTCTCTTAATTTATCGGGAAAATTTACATCTCAATATCTCATTATTCAGTATCTCAAAATGTGATGATAAAAATATTTTCTCGAGAACAAAAAATAAAAACCGACTCATCGACGACGTCATTCAGACTTCAGAGTCAGTTTCATCGCGACGTCGTTTAGAGTCAGAACTCAGATCATCGCGTCCCACGGTCCCACCGTAGTCAATCTAGTCCCGTTTTTCTCGCTCCCGCGATTCCATACTTTCTTCTTCCACTTCCCCTCTCCCTCCTTCAATCCAACCAACGCCGCATTTGAGTTTTTTTTTATGGATTCTGCTCTAAAACCCTAGTGAGTTCCCTCATTTCTTCTTTTGATCTTGTGATTCTGTATTGTCGAATTTTTCAAGTTTTATATAGCGGTGTGCTTTTGTGGGTTTGCAAACTGGGAACGCCGTGTCTTAGGGTTACGCTTCTGAATTTATCTGATGGGTTTTACTCATTCGAAATCATGTCTTTTTTTTTGTTTTTTTGTTTTTTTAGGCTGTAAATGATGAGATCTGTCTCTATGAATTCGAAAAAGAAGGACACTGGTTCCACAGATAGAATCAGCAATCTACCAGAAGCTTTGATTTGCCACATATTGTCATTTCTTCCCACAGAAGATTCTGCTTGGACTTCACTCCTCTCGAGAAAGTGGCGTTATCTGTTTGCTTACAGCCCAAATCTTAATTTCGATGCCTCCGTAAAACGTTTTCACCCTGGAACGTCTCGCAGAGTGAGGACTCTTATTCTGAGTGTTCTCACGTCTTTCGTTGACAGAGTTTTGGTTTGGCGAGGAGATGCTGCTGTCAACAAGTTCTCTCTAAAGTGTGGACAGGGCGTTGATCAAGAACGCGTCAATCATTGGATACTAAATGTGTTGGAGCGTGGGGTTTCGGATCTTGATTTACACGTTACTCTAGATGGAGGTCCTCTTCCTGCAAAGGTCTTTGAGAGCAAGTCACTCGTTAGGCTGAGGATAGAATCTGAAAATATTCACGGCGTTGATGTGAAAGATGTTCTTCTTCCAAAGCTCAAGACTCTTTACCTTAACAGAGTTATGTTAGGAGAAGCTGAAGATTGGTTTGAGAAGCTTCTCTCAGGTTGTCATGTCCTCGAGGAATTAGCTCTGATCAATGTCTACTCTGATATTTGGAAACGCTCTGTGTCTTCCAAAACCATCAAGAGACTAACTCTATCTTGTGCAGACTGTGATAACATTCCGGATACTGTTTGGTTCGATACGCCCAACGTTGTCTACTTGGATTACAGTGATTACGTGGGGGTCAAGTATACGAAAGTGAATTTTGGCTCGCTTGTTGAAGCTAGAATCGATCTGAAAATGAATAGTGATCAGCGTGCACATGCAGTCTTTGGACATTTGGTCGGCAATGCAAGAGACTTTCTCATGGGAATATGCAATGTTCAGACTCTTTACTTATCTGCCCACACTCTTGAGGTATATACTAGTGTAACATTGATTAATGATTGCATATGGATGATGATATGATTGATTTGGTTTTTGTTTCAGGTTCTTACTTTCTGCTGTGAATCAACGCCGGTATTCAAGAACCTGATTCATTTAACTATTCAGGGTGACAAAACAGGATGGGAATCATTGCCGGCTTTACTCAAGAACTGTCCAAATCTTGAAACCCTTGTCTTCCAAGTAACAATAATTATACATATCCCTTTATTACTTCTGCTAACATAGATACAAAACTAGATTCTGAAGGTGTTTCCTCTCTATGACTCAGGGACTCCGCCACAGGTATAGAATCAACTGTGAGGATGTTAACGGGTGCATATGCAACTTCTCAGGGGGGATTCCTGCTTGCTTATCATCAAGTCCGGTCAAGGTTTTGAAGATTATGAGGTTTGGTGTATATGATGGTATAGAGAATCAGATGGAGCAGATCAAGCATTTCCTGGAGACAATGCCGCGTCTTGAGAAGCTGACAATATACTACGAATCTACGATACATCAGTTGATGATGATGTGAATGAAGTATCAAGCCAACTTAACAAGTTTCCTAGAGTAGCTTCACCGAATTGCGAGATCCAAGTGATCTCTGATAACCTCAGCTAAACCAAGTTTTTCCACTTGTTTCTCTGCCTTTTCTTCTCACGTTTTTTGTGACTTGTGTTTGATGGTTTGTTCTTTTTTTATTGGGAATGCTCAATTATCATTTGCTTGTTTCGGTTCGTAGTTTGAGTGGCTAACTTGTCATACAAGTCACTCGAAAACTAGGTCTAATAAACTTTCTGAAACAGAGCACTATTATTATTACCCAAATAGAAAGAACAACACCAAAAAAGTTCAGTTAGGGTTTTATTTTCAACTCTTTTTCACCGGCACCTTCGAACGCTAATCAGAATCCCCTGGTCCAAACACACACAAAAATTCAGAAAATGACCCCAAAAAATTATTTCAAACCAATTCAAAAGAAACCCTTATAATGGTTGTAAAAAAAAGGACTCATATTGTTTGTCTCAAAGACACAATTGTGCTTAAATTAACAAGAATTTTTGTTGTTAACTTCATTGTTCCATTGGTTTTTGAAAGACACTGATACCTATTAATTTAAGTTAAGAATTGTAAGAATTGATAATTTATTCATTATTCTAACATATCTCTTTTTAAAATAAATAAAAAACTGATACGTCTATAAAACCTAAATTAGATGAATAGGTTTTATAATTGAGACTTGACTTAGGAATTTTGTTCGTCCCGCCTCATTGCCTACCTCACTAATCACTTGTTGGCCACGATCTCAGAATCCCTAATATTCTCGCAAACGATTTCTCCATATTTGGGTGATTTTGATGGGCTCTGCTTGAATATCTACTCAATTAAGTGAGTCTCCTCGTTTCTTCTTTTGATCTTTGTGCTTGTAGTCGGAAGTTTTTTTCTATTTTTCTCCAACAATTTTTGTGTGTGTTAATTCCATTGTGTTTCTTCCGATGTTGTAAAATAGTATACGACCTTAAATCTAGTTTGGAATTAATAAAATCCCGTTTTTGGAGTTTAAAGCTTTTTGAAAATCCTTGGATCGAATCAACTTACTTGAGATTATTATGTTATTTTGTTTAGGTTGCAAGTGTTGATCTGTCCACTATGAATCCGACAAAGTTGAACATTGGCTCCAAAGATGTAATCAACACTCTACCGGAAGCTCTTATTCACCACATATTGTCATTCCTTCCCACAAGAGAAGCTGCTTCAACTTCACTTCTCTCCAGAAAATGGCGGTATCTCTTCGCTTTCGTGCCAAACCTTGATTTTGATGATCCGTTACGTATGCGTGCTGATAGTTTGTATAACCAAGAAAAGACTGAGCTTCACAGAACCTTCATTGACTTCGTGGACAGAGTATTAGGTTTGCAGGGGAAATTTCCTGTGAACGGTTTCTCTTTAAGGTGTGGAAATGGTGTTGATGACGTTGTTGTCACGCGTTGGATACTCAAAGCGTTGGAGCTTGGTGTAACGGATCTTGATTTACGCATTGCTCTAGATTGTTATGATCCGTTGTTTCCTCCACAAGTCTTGGCGAGCAAGTCACTGGTTAGGTTAAGAATAGGAGCTAGAAACGGTACCGCCTATGGAGTTGGAAGTGGTCTCACCATTGATGTGGACAAACATGTTTCCCTTCCGAAGCTCAAGACTCTCTATATCGATTCCGTTATGATAGGAAACCAAACTGATACTTGTCTCGACAAGCTTCTTTCAGGTTGTCATGTCCTTGAGGAACTGACCCTGATTGGTCTGTTGTGGTTTCATTGGGAGTCTTGCTCTTTGTCCGTTCCAACACTCAAGAGACTAACGCTCTGTGTTGATGATCATCACGAATGGCCAAAGAGTGTCACGTTTGATGCGCCTGCTCTTGTTTACTTTGAATATTCCGATACTGTTGCGTTAAAGTATCCAAAGGTGAATTTAGACTCTCTTGTTGAAGCCAGTCTCCGTCTTAAAGTGGGATACGATATGGTCGGTGATGCAACAAATCTACTTTTGGGAATAAGCAATGTTCAGATCCTTTACTTATCCGCAAGCACTCTTGAGGTTTGTGTATATTGATCTCAATCTCTTGATTGCAAATGAGTGATGAGATGAGATCATCTGATGATTGATTTTGGTTTTTGTTCTCCAGGTACTCACGTTCTGCTGCAAAGCAATACCGATATTCAACAACCTGACTCGTTTAACTATTGAGAGTAACACAGAAGTTGGATGGGAATCATTGCCTAATCTTCTCAACAACTGTCCGAATCTAAAAACCCTCGTTTTCAAAGTACGAATCCAACATGTGGTACATTTTTCAGTCATGAGAAAAAGATTAACGTTTTTCTTTGTTGCTTCAGGGACTCCAACACAAAGCTACAGACAGTTGTGGCAACGTGTGCCGCTGCAAAGCTTGGGAGAATGTTCCTAATTGTTTATCATCAAGTCCTGTAAAGGCTCTAAAGATAAAATTGAAGTTTGGAGGAAAGTTTGATTCAGAGTTAGAGCAGATCAAGCACTTCTTGGAGTCAATGCCGCATCTTGAAAAGCTCACTATATACTACGATGATGCATCAACTGATGATAGTCCGGTTAAAGTATCCGAGGAACTTCACGAGCTTCCTAGTGTAGCTTCACCAAAGTGCAAGATCCAAGTTATCTCCAATACCATCAGCTTGTCATTTACTGTACCCTCTTCCTCATCCATGAAATGGATTGCTCCTCTTCTTTAGGGTCTAAACTACAAACCAAGATTCTCTTGTTTCTGCCTTTTGCTCTTAGTTTAGGTCTCATCCTAGTTTTGTCACTTGTGTTTTAACCATTTGATCTTTTGCTTGATTCAGTACTTTGGTGTGAGTTGCTAATTTTGTCATACAAGTCACTTTTAAAAAGGTGTTAATTATAGTCTAATCTTGTCATCTCCAGTGTAATCAACTTTCTGAAACAGAGCATTGTTATTACATAACATTGATCTCATCTTGAATGTGAAATAACAAAACCCAAAAAATAATGGTTTTTGATACAAACTCTTTTTTTTTTTCACTGTAACCTTTGACACGTAGCCATTTCAAACCCATTCTTAGCATTCTGATAGTCGTTATAGGCCACATCGATCTCTGCCTGTGAATTCATCACAAACGGACCAGACTGAACAACAGCCTCACCGATCGGTTCCCCTGCAATCAACAGAAACCTCAACGGCTCTGACGTTGCCTTGTTCCACACGCTAACTAAATCCCCCGGTCCAAACACAACAACATGGTGCGCCGATATAGCGGAGGAGTTCAAGGAACCGAAGACACCTTCGTCGCCATCTATAATGTAGGCGAAAGCGGTCCAGCATTTTGGAACGGTCTGGTGAGTTTGAGATCCTGGCTTGAGGGTAAAGTCAAGGTACATGATTGGTGTTGTTGTGTAGAAAGGAGATTTGATTCCTATTGACTCTCCAGCTATGACTTTGACCTCTACTCCATCTTCCTCTGCTCTTGGAATCTCTGAACTCGACAGCTCTAGGTTCTTTGGCTCGATCCTGTCGAAAATCAAAGAAGAAAGAGATTCAAAACTGGAATATAACGAAACATCAAATCATTCACAGAGATTAGGTCATAATGAATAATTTGTGTGTTATACATTCTGTGAATGGAAGGGAGGTTGATCCAAAGCTGTAAGCCATTGTTGACTTCGTGTTCAGGAAATTCAGAATGAACGATTCCTCTTCCTGCTGTCATCCACTGTCAGATCAAAACCAAAAACTGAGCGAAAACAGAAAACTTCGACAGGATTTGTTGTTTCTTTTGTGTTCTGTTTTTTTTCAGTCACCTGAACATCTCCGGCTCTGATTGTACTTTTATCACCGTTGGGAAATTTGTGAATGATACCTCCCTGCGTAAATTTAAAACCATTTTCGAAAGTCGTTAGAACCTTGGAATCAAGGTTCAGGAATCGTATCTATGGAGAAGATGGAAGAGTCTTTCTCTCACCTGTAGTATGTATGTAACACTTTCAAAACCTGCACAGAGTTGATCTAGTTACATCAGAGACATTACAGAACAGAGTAGGCTTTGTGTACGTAAAATTTATATGCGTGTATAAGAAGGTATCGGTGATATTGACCTCTGTGAGGATGATCTGGGAATCCAGCTGAAAGCGAAACTGATCAAGAAACAGAGCAAAACAGAGCAAATAAATGGCTGCTTTTAGATTATCGTATAGATTTGGAATTTGGAGGGGAGGAAGAAATTTACAGGAAAATTCAACTAGCAACACGAACGGGTCCAATAACTTGTGGTCAATCCTGTATTAACCCGGAGAGAGAAACATAACTTGAAGCTGAAGCAACTTCATTTACTGAGAAAATTTTGAGAAAGAAAGAAAAAAAAAACTCACTCTGTGATGGCATTTCTAGCGAGAGTCCCTTCGAATTCATTCTCAAGCTTTGCGAAAACTTTCTTGATTACTTGTCTCGGTACGCTATTACTTCGGAAGAACCTGACATGGCGATAATGATAAACTCTTCTTCTTCTTTCTATTTTTTTTTGGTTTGAAAGTAAAACGACGAAAAGCTTTTTGCTTGTTAATGGAGGAAGTTAGTTCTCTTCCCTGTATATAGCTTGTGGCGTGTGTGTGACTGTGTATATATAGAGAGAGCGATGTAGAAGGCACCTACTGCAGAGAATCGACTGAAACTGAAAGTTGTAGGTGAAGGAGAGTGGGGCCCATGGATTTGTTGTATGGAGTGTGGGACCAACGGTGATTAAAATCGTTGATGATGATTAACGAATGCTAAACGTTTCATACGTTGTTTAATCTGAAAGACCAGTTGGAAAATAATCGAAAGAATATTTGCGTTCACACTAGTAAATAAGGTTGTCAGGCCACGTGTGTGCCTCAGGTACATGACACGTGGAAACATGTGCACGTATATGAAGTGGTATGCGTGCGGATTTGATCATTTGATTCAATTAGCAGATATTTTCGAACTGAAAGTCCCAACTCCCAACATCGCAACATTAGCACTAACATTCACTTTTCACGTTCTGTTTAATTCAAGCAGCTATATCAGATTTAACGATTTGTTTTGTTTAGTGTAGTGTATCACTGTATTAGTCATGCGTCTGTTTACAGAAACATTCGCATATACTGTATAGGAGACTCTTAACTGTATTTAATTTGCTTTTTCCAATTGGAAATCCGATTGAGACTGGAAACCGGAAATCAGAACTTTATTATATTCATAACAATCTAAAAACTTAGAACAATAACTAAATAATAATTCGCAATGTCTTATCTTGAGTGGCGACAAGGTTTTGACCACAATTAAATGTTTTTTCATTGGGTGTTCACACTACATCTAATGTATTTTAAACGACTCAAAACCTAACTTTCTGATTAATTGAAACGAACAATGATATTTAAAGAAAACTTGTTCGTTGTCATACAACGTTTAATAATAATAATGGCGGCTTAACCAGCTAATAAGACAATTTTAATATTCTTCATTGTCAGGCTCTAGTAAAATAAATTAAAATTGAATATTACCAAACCTCATCAATCACATGTTGTAGTTGTTGTATACCCTAAAGTATGGCGGATGATTTGATATTTTGATGTCCGCTCCAAGTATGAACATCCGCATTTTACTCAAGAAGCATTTACGAAATATATTATTTCAAGACATGAATATTGCATCTAACAGAATGATTTGACAAATATTTTGAGTTTGTCCAGATCGATCTTGAGACTTCTTGTGGTTAAACGGAAATGAACATATATATATATATTCTAATTCATAGTTAGATGAGAAAAATGAAACTCCCACATCCGACCTTGCCTGATTTTCGTTAGCCGAAATGAACAATCCCAACAAAAGATCTGCCATAGTGTGTAAAACATTAAAAGCAAGCAATGAGAACACAATATATTCAGGATGTGCTCTCATAGATCCACAAACAAAAACAGCACACAACTTCTTTACTTAACATATTGATTCTTGTTGTGTGAAAAGGTGAGAACAAAAGACGGTTTCACTTTTAGGTGTACAACTGATTACTGAATATAGTTTAATGGAATGTTCGAAAAAGTCAAAAACTTATAGCATAGCTCGCTGGTTAGTGATTGTTCCATCACTTTCTACAGCTGTGGGTTCTTCTCCCCCACCACTACCCTCTTTAGCACACAAATCCATAATCCCAACAATACACACACACATTAAGAGAGGGAAGTGACGAGAGATATGTGAACATAGTTATTATATGGATTTGACTTTACATTTAACATCTTCTGTTAACCCAAAAGGCCTCGTGGCTGGCCCACCATTTCCAGCTGCACTTGTTTCTATAGTTTTGGTAATAAACCCAACACTGTTCGGTTACTCACCGATTTAGTTCATGCATCAATGATTGATTAGACTGAAAACAGAGAAAGTCATTCATTCATTCACACCATTCACAAAATGCAGCATTACTTGAATTGAAACAACTTGAAAGCAACATAGATTTTTTTTTTTTTTAAGTTTGAAAGCATCGCAGCTATTGTTTAGTTTCCTCTCCACTTGATTACAAAGAACACCAAAATAACAATGACTTCCATAGAAACTTCGGTCTCATGTTTAGTTTAGTTTTTTTGCTAAGAAAAATAAAATAAAAAATGTCTGAGCCCGGGTTCGAACCGGGGACCTCTAGTGTGTGAGACTAGCGTGATAACCGACTACACCACCCAGACGATTTATGTTTAGTTTCTTCGTCGCTCAGATTTTAACACAACAGAATTAACAAAACAAACTCATGAACTAAAATTTCTCCGAATATGTAAAAACGCAAAATACTAGCGAAGTACAAACAACAGAAAATGAGAATCTTGATAAGTAAAAGAAGAATGACCACATTAGTCATTAGAAACCAGAAAGGCTGTTCTATAGAAGCAATCCATATTTCATCGATAAGGAAATGAGAAAAGTAGGTGATAAGCTTAGGTTATCAGAGATGACTTGGATCTTGCACTTGAGTGAAGCTACTTCAGGAAGCATCTGAAGTTGGCTTGATACTTCAACCAGATCATTTTCGACTGATGTATTGTAATTTATTACGAGTTTTTCAAGATTTGTCATTTTCTTCAAGAAATGCTTAATCTTCTCCATCTCTATCTCCATGTTCAGATCTTCACCCTCATCGTAGGCTTCTCCAAATTTCATTATGGTTAGAAACTTCACTGGACACTGTGATAGGGAAGAAGTACATTTCTCCAGACCTTGGCACAAGCACACATCCCCACATCTATCTGTAACTTTGTGATGGAGACCCTAAAACATAAAAAGAAACATCTCCAACTTTATTGATGTAAAACGAGGCTAACACTCAACACATTCCTTTTCAAAGGGTTTGATTTGCTTACGTGGAAGACAAGGGTTTCAAGATTTGGACAATTCTTGAGCAGGTCTGGCAATGATTCCCATCCTACTTCCGGATTTGATGAGTCAATAGTTAGGTGAGTCAATTTGTTGAATACAGGTATCGCTTCATAGCAAAAGTTAAGCATCTGACACAAAACAAAACCAACAAGATTATACATCAACATTTCCAATCACTAGTTAACTAAATTCCTTTAGTAATGAAAGATTCACATACCTCAAGAGTTTCATAAGATAAGTAAAGGGTCTTCACATTGCATATTCCCATAAGAAACACTGTTGCGTTACCAACCATCTCTGTTATTTCCTCATCAACATCCGATGCATTTCTCACACTGTCTCTCTGATCTTTTGTCATCCTAATACTGATACTAGCTTCAACCAGAGAATCAAAATTCACTATTGGATAATTCTGCGCTATAGTATCAGAATATTTGAAGTAGACAACATTTGGAGTGTTAAATGACACACTCTTCCGGTTTTTGTCATAGTTTGGACAGCAAAGCGTTAGTCTCTTGAGGATTTTGGAAGACACAGAGCAAGAATCCCACCACGCAAGATTAGCCAAACCTAATTCCTCAAGAACAGGACAGCCAGAGAGAAGCTTTGCAAACCCAATCTCACCTTCTTCAAACACAACTGAATCTAGATCCAGAGTCCTAAGTCTTGGAAGACGAACATTCCTCAGTTTAACTCTGGGACCTCTTATTTTCAGCCTAACAAGTGTCTTACTCGTGAAAATCTTTGAAGGCAACCAATCAACCAATGTAGGAGAGACAAGTAGAGAAAGATCTGAAACACCATGCCTCAACGCATTTGATATCCAAGGGAAAACGTCTTCATCCTCAATACCATCTCCACATTTAAGAGACAACTTGTTAACATGATCTTTCCCTCTCAATTTCAGTACTCTATCCACAAAATCTATAAAACTCGTATGATCCTGCATCATAATCTCCGGATGCAGAGAGGATAAGTCATCAAAATCAAGATTTGGTACAAGAGCAAACAGATACCGCCATCTTTTTGAGAGAAGTGAAGTCAACGCAGCTTCTTTTGTAGACAAGTTTGACAAGATTTGGCAAAGAAGATTGTCTGGTAAACCGTTGATTACATCTTTGCAACAATCTTCCATCTATGAACAGTCCTAAACTTTAAACCAGTTTCAAGGTCATTTCCTTAATACAATCGGTTAAGATTCACGAGGAACAAACACGAAGCACAAAAGAACCAGATCTTGTAGGAACACAAGATCAAAAAGGCAGAGAGTAGAAAACTTACTTGCGTTGGGTGTAAAAACAGAGCCAATCAGAATCACTCTACAACTTCAATCAGACGGTGAGTGAGTATTAGGTTAGTGGATGAGGAAATTTAGGACTTTTATGCAATTTGTGGACCAAAAGCGAAGTAACAATCGTCTTGTAATCAAGAAGAAGCAAGCCATGGGATGTTTAGTTGTTTACATTATCTTGCAACTTGCAAGGCTAAAACTGCGATTTCACAAACTAGAAGACATCCCTATTTCGTTTCCTTTCCTTCCCTCATGGATATTGTAAAGAATTGATTACTGTTTAGAGAATTGAAGAAGTCACTTTCAGTTTATTTGTGATTTGATTTACACAACACAAACTTAAGTTATTCACTTTCAAAAAGGCCAGTCGTTAAACAGAAGACTTTAACCAACAAGTCCTAAAACAGAAGACTTTAACCCTGAAATACATTAATGGACAAAGCATAAAACAGAAGACTTTAACCAACAAACGCAAGAGGAAACAAAGCCGAAGAACTAGAACAAAAACACCACCGGAAACTTTCAAGATTCTTCATAATAGTTTCAAAAGGACCAACGCATAAAACATCAGTAGTTTTAGAGCAAGATGCTGAGCAGAGTACAAACTACAGAAACAAAAGAAATCTTAAACTGCTTTTAGATTCAGATCAAAGCCAAGACATTTCATCTTCTGAAGAATAACATTCGTCATAAGGATCATATTCTTCTTTTGAAGGAGCAAATTCTGCTGCCGGAGGAGCATATTCTTCTTCTTCTGGAGGAGCAGTAGACCATCTCCTTGTCAAGGAAGAAGGCAAAGTAGATGTCAAACTAAGATTCGGAGAGATCACCTGGATCTTGCACTTTGGTGATGCCATTACACGAACCTTCTGAAGCTTCTTGGATAACTCAAACACAGAAGGGTCATATGATGTCTTGTAGTATACTATCAACTGTTCAAGACACGGCATCGTCTTCAAGAAATGCTTCACCTGCTTTACCTCCATCGTTTCCTCAACATCGTAGTTCACATCCATTACTATCTTTAGCACCTTCACCGGTGAAAATAAAAGGCAAGAAGATTGCTTTGGACGTTTACAGCAGCACATGTTCCCACATCCACCGTTATCTTTGTGGACAAGACCCTGAAAGAAGCAAAGAAGAAAGGTTTCAAACTTGGTTTTGTTTTCCATGTCACCAATAAACAAAGATGGTTTTTTCTTGTCTTAATACCTCGAAAATAAGGGTTTCTAGATTTGGACAATTAATGAGAAGTGCTGGCAATGAATCCCATCCAGTCTCCGAGTTACTCTCAACGGTTAACTGATTCAAGTTGTTGAAAACTGGTGTAGGTTCACAACAGTAAGTAAGTACCTAAAACAACAACACCAACGACAAAACCAAATCAGCTCACTTGCCATGACAAGTTTACAACCAACATGAGGATCGATATGGGATTGAAATATATACAAACCTCAAGAGTTGTGGCAGATAAATAGAGGATCCGAACATTGCATAATCCCATAAGAAAAGCAGTAGCATCACCGACCATCTCTTTCTCCTCACTATCATCATCATCACCTTCCGAGAAATAACCGTCGTCTGAAATGGTTGCATCCGCAATCTGATCCTCTGTCATTCGAAGGCTGATATGAGCTTCGACAAGCGAACCAAAGTTCACTTTGGGATACTTCTTAGCAATTGTGTCAGAATACTCCAAGTACTTAAGGTTTGGCGTATTGAATGAGACGCTCTTGGGATTCTCATCATCGTTTTCGTCCTCACAGGAAAACGTCAGCCTCTTGAGCGTTTTGACATTGACAGAGCAAGCTTTCCAGTACTCCCAACCGATATTCATCAGCGCTAACTCCTCAAGCACGGGACATCCAGAGAGAAGCTTTGCGAAACCAACACCTCCGGCTTCGAACACAACACAATCAATATCCAAAGTCTTGAGCTTTGGAAGACACACTTTCTTCACAGCATTGCTGAAACTGAGATCATTTGCCTGTCCTAATTTCAGCTTCACCAGAGTCTTGCTCAAAAATATCTCTGCAGGCAAGGGATACTCGGAGAGGGCTAAATCAAGATCGGAAACGCCGCGCTTCAACGCATTGAGTATCCAACTGGTGACACGAGCTTGATCAGGATGACCACAGCATTCTAGAGAGAATCTGTTAATGGGAGCAGTCCCTTGCAAGGCCAAAACTCTCTCCACAAACTCCATAAAACTTGTGCTTGCCTCATCATCATCATAATCATCATCATCATCGCCATTGCTTTTAAATTCAAGATTTGTGACAGAGGCAAACAGAAAACGCCACCTTTTAGAGAGAACCGATGTGGAAGCTGCTTCTTTTGTGGGAATGAAAGACAAGATGTGGGAAATGAGAGGATCTGGAAGATTACTGACTAAATCTCTCCAGACAGAACCCATCGTTTTCGAACAACACCTACAACCCAACCTAAACAATATGATTGTCAGAACTCAACTCCAAATACGACATCCTCAAATTGCAGAAAACAGTTCCAAGGTCTAGTCTTTTAGCATAATTGTACGATTCCAAAACCGGATAAAAAAAATCAGACAACCCCAAGAATTAGAAGCAAACACAGCGTGAGGACAAGAATCAGAAGAAGAAATGAAAACTTACTTAGATCATCAGAATAACAGTATTGACAACTTCAGAGTAACCGGATTCGGAGGTTTTGTTGTGGTAAGGATGTTGAAAATGAAACTTTTAGGGTTTTGGTGCCGTCGTCAGTGAGATAATAGCAATGTGGAGTGGTGGGATGGGTGGATTCCAACGCTAAACGACGCCGTTACGGTCCAGAGGGAACATGTAAAAACTTTTTGGTTGTTCTTTTTTTTGTTAAAGAGTTTTGTTAAACTTTTTGGTTTTTCTCAATTTTTGGTTCTTAAATTTAATATTCATGTAAGTTCCGAAAAAATAATTACTCCTGACTTTATGCAAATAATTCATAATCTTTTGATATAATACAACCAAAAAGTTAAACAACAAAAACAAGAGAAGCTTGCTTGGACTTTCAGAAGTTTAAGCAAACTTTACAAATGATCATAAACATGAATGACCAGAAACTACATACTGATGCGAAGCTGAAAGAGCAGAGACCAGACTAAAACTAATAACCAAGGCTTTACTAATCTTCTCTGAGACGATGAAGTAGGACGATCTTTCAAACCGGGAAAGTGTTTTTAATGAAAGCGAGTCCATATGACGACGAGGAAGAGCGCACAGTTGATGAGAAACTGATATCATCAGAGATGACTTGGATCTTGCATTTGGTTGACGCAACTTTCTCAAGCATCTGAAATTCGGTTGATACAATACTCAGATCACCGTCAATCGGAGTATCATAGTAAAGTACCACCTGTTCCAGGTTCGGCATTGTCTCCAAGAAGTGCCTGATCAGATCCGTCTGCTTATCCATATCATCTTTGTAATTAGTGATTTCTCCAAACTTCAATACCTTCAGGATCTTCACTGGCATTGACGATAGCCAACTAGGAGTGCCGTGCCAAGGTTTGCACACACACCTGTCCGCACCTTTCTCATAACATTTGTTTGTCTCTTTGAAACGGTACTCGTCGTCAAAACATTGATTTGTATCTCCGTAATGGAGTCCCTGAAAGTATATACAATAAAGGAAATAGTTTTTTTCAGAATTTGAAGTGTAAATATGTCAGCTAATGCAAGATAAGGGCAAGTGATGGTACTTCGAAGACAAGGGTTTCTAGAACTGGACAGCTCTTGAGTAGATTCGGCATTGACTCCCAATCCACATCTTGGTCAGTCTCAATTGTTAAGTGAGTCAAGTTGTTGAAGACTGGTATTGCTTTACAGCAGAATATAAGGACCTGAAAAACAAAACAACAAATCAACTACATTATATTCATTTGCAATCATTGACTCTAATATACTTGATGTGTTGTTGAAATATATGCAAACCTCAAGAGCCTCAGACGATAAATAAAGAGTCTTCACATTGCTTATTCCCATGAGAAAATCTGATGCATCTCCAACCATGTTTAAGTCATAGCCATAATGACGATTTACTAAATCTCTTGCGTCAAAGACTTGATCAGGTGTCATTCGAATGCCTATACTAGCTTCCACAAGAGATTCAAAGTTGGCTTTTGGATACTGGACCGCAACAGTGTCAGTGTACTCCAAGTAGGCTAGTTTTGGTGTATCGAAAGATACACTCTTTGGATTCTCCTCGGCTGATATCTTCTCAGAACAAACTGTTACTCTCTTGAGGGTCGAGCTGGAGACAGAGCAAGAATCCCAATGATCCCACAGCAGTTTAACCATAACCAACTCCTCGAGCGCATGACAACCAGAAACGAGCTTGGCAAATGCAGCACCACTCTCGTCGCCGAACGTGACATCGTCCATATGCAAAGTCTTAAGCTTTGGAAGGGAAACTTCTCCCACATCAATGGTGAACTCATCTGTGCCTGCTACTTTCAGCCTAACCAATGTCTTGCTCATCAACACCTCCGGAGGCAACGGATACTTATACTCCGAGATGATGTACAGATCAAGCTCTACGAGACCACGCTCCAACACCTTGAGAATCCAACCATTGACACGAGATGGATCAGAACCGATCTTGCACTTGAGGGAGAATTTGTTCAACGGAGCATTCCCTTGCAAAGCGAGTACTCTGTCCATAAAAAGCTTGAAGCTTTGACGCAAATGTATCCTTCTTCGTCTACCCATTTTAGGAAGGTCGTAGATGGAGTTGTCCAAATCCAGATTCGGTACGAAAGCCAGAAGATTTCTCCATCTTTGCGCGAGGACTGAAGTCAAAGCAGCATCCTTTGTGGTGAGGAATGACAAAATGTGGCAGACGAGGGCGTCTGGTAGATTGCTGATTAAGTCTTTGGAACCAAGATCCATCTTTTTCGAGTTCATTGAGGTCAATCAAGAGTTAAGACCTGGAAGATGATGTAAGCGTAATTCAATCAGAAGCTAAACTCAAAATTAATCAATTGGAGAACCAGTTTCAAGGGTTTGTAAATTTACACACAATCGAGAGGTTTCAAGTAATATTTGCAAGTAGAAAAGGAGAAATACAGGCAACTAGGCAAAGATCAAGCAGAATCCCACAAAAGCTAATTGCTAGAGAAAAACTAAATAAGATCAGACACTACAGAGGCACAAAATCAGAAGAAGAAGATGGAAACTTACTCGGATATTTAAGCAAGAAGAACCATTAAAATCACCAAGGCCTTGAGAAATTGGAAACAGCTGGGTTCATAGGTTTGATCGACTGCGAGAGGGAAAACGGAAGAGGAAATCAGGGTTTTATGCAATCGTCGCCGAAAATGAGCCAAGTCAAGTGTTTGTCAGTCCCCAATGCTGAATTTGTTAGGTTCAGCTCTAAACGCTGTCGTATGAGGTTGTGACTATGCAAATCATCACAATCATATATTTTTGTTTTTGGCTCAACAACAATTCTTATTAACCACCATTCTAATACAGCATATTTTTGCATTTTGTAATGTTTTTTTGTTAAAGGCATTTTGTAATGTTATCTCCCCAGACTTTAGAAAGGTTAGCTAATTACAAAATAATGTGCTTTCAAACTATGTTTTATGAATGTTCCGAGAACTTAGATTTCAATGTTCTAGTTCCGATCTTGATAAAGTTGAAACATTTGGCTCTAAACAAGTGCAGATCCTCGGAAATTAGTAATCAAGCAAGACAGTAGGTGAAACATTTGAAAACAAACCAGAGACAAATAAAAATAAAAATCACCAACAATAAAAATCAGACAATAGCAGAATCAAACCGAACCAAACAGAGTAACAGAATAATGAAACACAAATAGGAAACAATTTCCGGAAAATATGAATAAGATCGTCAAGAAGAAGTGACAAGAGACATGAACTCTTGATCTGATTCTAAAGCTTCCATAAACTCAGGAAGAAGACATACTTCCAAATCTATGCTTCCTCCTCCTTCTCTTCCCGGATAAGCTGTTATCTTCCCGTCATACTTGACGCCATAACCACTTCTAACCGCCACAGCTTTCCCCATCCCAAACTCGCATCCGTACTTGTTAAATATGAGTTAGTCAATGTTACATATTTAGGGTTTTTCCTAAAAATGACAATTAACACATTCGATATTTTGTTTGGTCTATCATCAACGTGAGTCAGGAGCGGAGTGGTAATGAGACCAATACTCTTTCACAAGCTTCCCAAACAACGAATCTTCCTTCTTCATCAGTTTCATCGGCTCATCATACTCCACAATTCTTCCTACATTTCAATCAAACCACAAAAAGATCGTCCTCATCATAACACACAAACTTCATGATACAGAACAGAGCAAAAAGAAAGAAAAAAAAAACCAGAAATTGAAGTGATGCAACACTCACCGTCGCTCATGGAGAGAACCATTGTACAATCCATGACGGTGGGAATACGGTGAGCGACGGTTATGACGGTGCAATCGGCGAATTCTCGCCGGATTGTTTTCTGAAGTATCAAGTCTGTGCCGTTATCTATCGACGCCGTTGCTTCGTCCAGGACCAATACTCTGCTTCTTCTCAAAACTGCTCTGCCTAAACAGAACAGCTGTCTCTGTCCCATGCTCCAGTTCGATCCATCTTCCACAACTACACAAAGATAATAAAAAAAACCCTAATAAAATACCACTTTTTCAGCTTTGAGAAAAAACAACTGAATTACCTAATGAATCTAAGCCATTCTCTTTCTCTTGAACCACCTCTCTCAGCTGATACTTCCCAAGAACCTGCAAATATTTTGTCTTTTTATAGCAACTTCTTCGTAAGATTCATAGTTAGTATCACATGAGTTTTTAGTTAGACGTACGTACCTCCCAAATCTCAGCATCAGAATGCTGACACAAAGGATCCAAATTATATCTCACTGTTCCATTGAACAGAGTTGGATCCTGAGGTATAATCCCAAACCTTGATCTCAGATCATGAACCCCGATTGTGGAGATGTCAACGCCGTCAACGACGATCTTTCCTCCAACAGGCTCAACTAGTCTGAACAGAGCACTGATCAGAGTCGTCTTTCCGCTACCGGTTCGACCAACGATTCCAATCTTGTGCCCTCCTTCGAATACGCAACTAATTCCTTTTAAAACCAATGGAGATTCTTGTCTGTACCTTATCTGTATATCAACATTATAAGATGAGTAAAACTCTCATTCTCTGAATTAAGGAGAGTGAAAAATGTATTAAACCTGCAAATCAGATATCTCGACTCGGCCTGTGACCGGCCAGTTAACCGGTGGTCGGGTCTCTTCTATAACTTCAGGAGCCTCAGGTGATAAATGTGTGTACTGGTTAAGCCTCTCAACCGAAATGATCCAGTTAGCTAAGTAGCATTGGTTCTGTACGGCATTAACAAGCCCCAGGTTCAAAGATAAACCGTATGATAGGGCCATTCCGATGAACCCTGCACAACACGGTACAACACAACAAACACTAATGATAAGCAAACAGTGACTATGTAATTACCGTGTTTTTTTTTTATGATGACGCACCAGAGGTATATGTTCCTGTAGGGAGCAAAACCATGCAGAAGGCAGTGGAGGCTAAAACAATGGCGCAGACGGTTTCAAGCCGCTGGATCAGCCATTCGTTAGCTGCAAAGCTGTGGAGGAAAGGACTTGCGTTTGTGTCAATGAGTGTGAGACTTTTCTTGAAAAACCTCTCTTCTTCATCAAACGCCCTGATTGTTATCGCTCCTGCTACTGATTCTGCTAAATGATTCGCCACAAAAGATCTTGTCGTGCCATTGATCCGCATTAACTCTTTCGCTGCTTGGAAGTAGTACTTCTGTATAACCATATCAAAAGAAAGAAAACCAAGAAATCTTAGCTCAAGAGAAGCTGAGGTCTTTAAGAGAAAGTCAAGAAGAAGAAAAAGAAGCTGACCTGTAAACGAAATGCAAGATAAACCATGGGAACAGATACAAACAAGACTTGCCAAGTAATAGTAGCTAACACTCCAAGACTAGAACCTGTGTATACCGTAGCCACAACCACAAATATGAGGCCGAAAGGAACGTCAAGATCTACAATGCTCAAGTCAGATGAGACCTGCAAAGCAACAGAAAATCACTGTTAAAGAGGTTCATTACCAAACAGCAAACATTGATGATCATCAATTCAAGTTCATCAGCGCTTACCCTGCTAAGAATCCGTCCAAGAGGAGTGGAGTCGTAAAAGGACATAGGCGCTCTAAAAAGAGAGTTTAGAAGATGAGAGAACAAAGAAGTTGATGACCTCATACACATAACCACAACACAGATAGATCTAACAAACAAGAAGAGAACTGCGCTCAGCCCAATCAACAAGTAGACCAAGATCAACTTCAAAGTGCTAACTTGGGGGTTATCTACGTTTGCAGCCATCCAAGAGTTCTGTAGAACCTGTCCAAGTGCAAACATGAGCTGAGATAGGCCCGCTATGAAGAAGAATATGTAACCTTTGTTCTGGTTCAAGTACTGTATGTACGGTTTCAACCCTGTGTCTCCTTTCTCTCGCTCTTCCTCTTTGATCAAACGACTCGGTTTCACGACCGTGAGACAAAGAGACTCCGTCGATTTCCATCACCGGTTTGCTTTGGTTTATGGGGTTGTCTACGGCAGCCATTCTTTCAGAGCCAGCCGTTTCTCTGTGAGCGTTGACAAGATCTTGAAAGTCTCTGTTTCTGGATAGCAGTTGTTGGTAAGTGTCAGCTGCAACGATTTCTCCATCTGCCATCAGCTAGAGAAACAAGTACAATAAGCCAAATGATTAAGCAAACCTTAAAAACTGAAAAAAAAATCAATTCATGATTTAAAGATCAAATTACCAAGACAGAGTCAAAAGCAGGCAAGAAATCCACTTGATGCGTAACAAGCAATACAGCTTTTTTCGCAAGAGCGTCTACAACGTATTCCTGCATACCACCACGCTCATTAGCTTTCAACATTTTCAGAAACATGAAAAAAATGTGAAGTTTGGTTAAGTAAAAGCACATTACTTTGAACAAACTCGTAGCAGTGTGCGCATCAACAGCACTGAAAGGATCATCAAGGAGATAAATGTCTGCATCTTGGTAAAGAGCACGCGCGAGTTGAATCCTCTGTTTCTGTCCTCCGCTTAGATTAACACCTCTCTCACCGATCTCAGTCTGGTCTCCGTCAGGTAAGAGCTCAAGATCTTTGTCTAGGCAAGACTTTTGAACTGTCTCACGGTAACGTTGCTCATCCAACACACCTCCGAAGAGGATGTTGTCTCTTATTGTCCCTGTTTGGATCCATGCTGTTTGAGAAACATAGGCGACCGTACCAACGAAATCGATCTGTTGAGTGATTCAAATAAAAAATCAGAAACATAAAGTTGTTAGAAATCTCTAAAGCTTAAGAAGGTGATCAAACAATGACTCACCTTTCCTGAGACACATGGAGTTTCACCAAGAATGGCAGCTAAAAGTGTTGACTTCCCTGAGCCAACTTCACCACAAACAGCAACTTTCTCCCCAAACTTAACCTCAAGACTCACATTCTTCAAGTTTGGTTTTGCTGAACTTTTCTCCTCCCACGAGAAGCTTGCAGATTTAATCACGATCGCGTCTTGATCTCCCTCTGATCTCTGCTTTCTCCGACTCTCCCCACCTTGAAGCTCAGGGGCTTGTAGAAAAGCTGATATACGACTGAAGGCAACTTTAGCCTGAATCGTCACTCCGATCACATCAGGGATCATTCTCACTGGATCTTGGACCAGACGCAAAGTCGCCACAAACGTGAAAACGTTACTTGCTCTCAGCGGAATGTCAATGAAATAACAAGTAGCAAAAGTCGCAGCAGAGACAAGAACCGGCGATGACCAGAAGAGAACCGCATTGTAAGCCTTCCTCATCTGAACAGCCTTCAAAGATTTCAACTCTGTCTTCCTCAGCTTCTCGATAACCTTCTTGAAATGTGATTCCCACGCGTAGAGCTTCAACACCTTCATGTTGACAAGAGACTCGTTGCATGCCTTGAGCCTCGCATCCTGAGCAGTCATGAGCTCGCTTTGGAACTTGTTCTGAAGCTTCGCGATAGGAGCGTTGCACATAACAGTAATCACTATCACAGCTAGAGCCGAGAACGTAGCAACCCCCACGGAATGAAAGAGGATCCCAAGCGCGATCAGTAGCTGAAAGCTCGTCGTCCAAAGCTGGTGAAACCAATACGGAAACTCACCAATTCTGTAAGCATCAACAGTCGCGTAGTTCATGATCTCGCTGCCTGAATGGATCAGTCTTGAAGAGGTATTCAATCTCAGCTGTTTCTTGTATATAGCTGCGGTTAGAAGAGACCTCACGCGTAAACCAACGAGCCTACTTCTGAAGTACCATTGTCTCTGCGACAAAGACTCTACACTCTTTGTGAAGAAGAGCAACACAGCCAACACAAACCCTTCGTATCTAAACCTCTCGTTGCCTTCAGCAACCAAAATGAAAGCGTTCAGAAGCAGAGGACCAGCTGAAACAGAAACAATCTTCATAAACGCAAAGCAGCCAGAGATCAAAACCTCTCTCCACACACAAAGAACAGTCACTTTCAAGATCGAAGGCCGTCGAGTATCATCATCATCATCTACTAATCTTCTCTTCTGCTCATTGAGATTCTCCTCAAATAATGAATAACAAGTCTCTGCACGCTCTTCCTCTCGCAGCTCAGGCATGTCTTCTTCCTCCAAGTCTTTGACATTTCCTTTCTTCATCAGAGAATTCAACCACCAGAATGATAACTTGCTTAACAAACCAGCTCTTGCAAATTGGCTAACCGGTTTATCAAAATCAGATTTTGAATCGCTGACATTGAGAGGCTCATACAAGCTGCTACTCTCACTAGAATCTTCAAAGCTAGAGCCTTTATAAGCGGTTAAGAGTAATAACACTGACCCAGGTACTAACAAAACATCAAGAACCGTCCTAATCGCTGGTTCCTCTCCATGAACAGCATTGTTCACAGATGAACAACTCGAGAGTAGAGCGTAAAAGAAGGAGAAAAGAGATAGCAGTCTCACCGAAGACTTCCGGATATGTAGTCTTCTTACGCAAACGACTAAGTTGATGAACAGCCATGCAAATCCTTGAACGAGAATCACCAGCCAGAAAATCAAGGGTTTGTTTGGGTTCTCTTGTGAAACCCAAATCCCTAAAATCAAAGCTAGTGATCCGATGATTCCGTTGAACGCAGCAGACACGATTCGAAGACAGCTGAAGGGGTGATATTGTTTGAGCGGTTCCTTGTGAAACAAGCAAATGCAGAGACTTGCGAATGAGAGTGTAATTCCGAAACATATCTGCAGAAATCGGATAGTGCAGTTTGATGTGTGGTGATTATTCCCGCATAACCAAGTCCAGAAATCTCCGGTCATTTTTTTTTTACTGGTTTCTTTCTCCTCTCCCTAATAAAACCCAAATTTCTGGGATAGTATTTTTGGGAATTCAAAGTTTCAAACGAGAAGGAAGACTGGAAAAAAAAAAAAAAAAAAAAAATACGGGAAAACTAAATATCGAGAAAATTTGAATTAAATACAGAGCTCCATCGATTCAAATGGAATTAAATAATAACCACGGCCTTTGCACTTCTAACGGAAGAAGATCAAACTCCGGATTTCGTGGCCTTTTTCGCAATAATTACAGCTCTAGTCACTAGATCAAATTCCGGAGTTCGTGGTATAGAAATGTACATTACGCCGGCACTTGAATTGGACGCAATATTCGTTTACCTGCAATACTTTATACCATAACAAAATAGAGGATCGTCACGTGGAGAATTACGATAAAAATACCACGTCCACGCACGAATGGCGAAATTACAACATGGCGACGTACGCACTTTCAATCATGCATAAATGCAATCAGTACACATTAATAGAACGTGCATTATCTTTATCAAAAAAAATAGAACGTGCAATATCACTAACAATGTCATATTTTGATATTTTAGTTTTTAACAGTAATTAAATTTTACATCTAACAAGCAGACAAATTATAATGGGGGTCGACTATGGAGAGTTGTGTATCTATATGTATTGTATGTAGATGTACTTAGACCGACCCAGCTCAGCTCTAGTATTTTTCATACAAGGTGCATGTTCCAATTAAACAATTAATTTTGTAGAAACTTTCACTCATACTATTAACGATTAGACACAACATAAGATTATTAAGAACTCAAACAACCATAATATAAAGTTAAGATTGTCGGCAAAGCATATAACACAAGTCTTTAAACTAGGGTCGATACTAAACAGAAACGAAACGAAGTTTAGGAGTACAAGTTTACACGAAACGAAATTTAAACAGAATCGCAAAAGCCATCACTTGTGAGTACAAGTTTCAAACGAAACGAAACGCAGCGTTTAGGAGCAGAAGCATCACCATCACTTGTGAGCACAAGTTTCTTGATCATATGGCTTCCAAAAGAGGCCTGGGAGAGATTGTAAAGGAAGCTCAGAGAGAGAGAGAGAGCAAAGGAAAAAATAACAGTTGCTGTTTAAGCCAAAAACTAACAACCAGAGCTTTGCTAAACTTCTCTGAGACCGACAGAGCAATGTTCAGACCGGAAAGGTGGTTTTGATGAAGGCGAGTCCAGTTGTAAATAGCGCAGAGGCAGAGTGCACATAGCTGGTGCTATCAGACACTACTTGAATCTTGCATTTGGTTGAGGCTACTTTCTCAAGCATATAAAGGGCAGTTGAAACTAGACTCATATCATCGTCAAATGGAGTATCATAGTATAATATCACTTGTTCGAGATTCGGCATCGTCTCCAAGAAATACTTTATCATCAGCAGCTGCTTCTCAAAGTCAATGAAATTAGTGATTTCTCCAAACTTCAATACCTTTAGCACCTTCACCGGGCTTGATGTTAGGCAAATAGGAGTGCCTTCCCAAGGTTTGCACATGCATATGTCCCCATATTGGTTGCAACATATGTTTGTATCTTTGAATTTGTATCCCTCATCTCCACATCCATCTGTATCTTTGTAATCGAGTCCCTGAAAATTAAAATGGTTTTCTTTCAGAATGCAATGTGTCAGCTGATATAGGCAAGGGATATGTGTTCTTACTTGGAAGACAAGGGTTTCAAGATTTGGACAGTTCTTGAGTAGATTGGGCAATGATTCCCATCCTCGTTTTCGATCAGTCTCGATAGTTAACTGAATCAGGTTGTTGAAAACCGGTATTGCTTTGCAACAGATGGTAAGTACCTAAAACAAAAACCAAATCACTCATTTGTAACTCAACATAACATATCCTTAAGCAATGTGTTACACTAACATACCTCAACGGTGGCGCCAGATAAGGAAAGGATCTCAACATTGCGTATTCCCATAAACAAATCTGTTGCATCTGCTGAATCTCCAGCTGGCTCGTTCTGATCAAGTGTAGTTCTAAGATCGAGCCTAGCTTCAACAAGCGAATCAAAATTCGCTTTAGGATACTTGATCGCAACCTTGTCAGTCAAGTCTAAGAAGACAAGATTTGGTGTGTCGAATGATACACTATTTGGATTCATTTCAATGTGACTGTCACATAAAATCTTTAGTCTCTTGAGGCTTGGGTTAAAAACAGAGCAAGAATCCCAAAAATCCCATCCCACATCAATCATAACCAACTCTTCAAGCACATGACAAACAGAGATTAGCTTGGCAAAGGAAGCACCAGTGTCTTCGAGTCCAACATCATCAAGATACAAGGTCTTAAGCCTTGGAAGACAAAAATCTCCCACATGGGTGGTGAAGTTATCAACACCTTCTACTTTCAGCCTGACCAATGTCTTGCTCATCAAAACCTTAGAAGGAAGCGAGTAATCAGAATCCGGTTCGATGTATAGATCAAGATCTACTACACCACGCTCCAACACATTGAATATCCAACCATTGACACGAGATGGATCATAATCATCTTCACACCTTAGAGAAAACTTGTTTACCGGAGCCTTCCCTTGCAAAGCCATTACTCTATCCACAAAAACATTGAAGCTTTGACGCAAATGTAGACTTCTTTGACTCCCCATTTCAGGATGGTCATAGCTGGCGTTATCCAAATCCAGATTTGGTACAAAAGCCAGAAGATACCTCCACCTTTTCGCGAGAACTGAAGTCAAAGCAGCATCTTCTGTGGAGAGGAATGACAAAATGTGGCAAACAAGAGCGTCTGGTAGATTGCTGATCAAGTCTTTGGAACCAATATCCATCATTTGAGAAACAGAAGATCAATACTTGCAAGCTACAACCTGTAAGAGTATATGATGGAATTTCAGAGGTTTATTTGTGGGAAAATGAAAACTAGGGTTTTTGTAAATCATGGTCCAGACTAGACGACAGTGAAGTAAAGCAATGTGGTGAGTTCCAATGCTGGAGTTGTAAAGAGTTATACCAAAAGCCACTCTTACTTTACTCCTACATTTATACATTTAGTCCTAATCGACGTCGTACACGTGTTTGAAGAATATGAAGAAGTTGGAACTTGAATCAGGAAGACAAGGACAGCAAAACACAGGTTAATTATTCAATGCCAAAACACAGAATATATTACATGGCAATTTAGTACTGTGATTTCTTTTCGACATAACTTATATGACATGGCAATTTAGTTCTCACGTTTACATTTCTTTCACCAAGAAAAGTTAGTTACCACATCATCATACATAAAACAAACAAAACATGAAGTTAACATTGTCTAGGCCAAAAGGACAACGCATCAAAACACGTCTTTAAACTATGATGCTTAACAAAACAAGGCAGAAACAGAGCATCTTGATTAGAGTTTATATCATTTTAGCAGACTATATAAAATTTGTAGCCGAGCCACATCCATGACTTTGAGGTAGTAAAAGAGCCAAAAGACCTGAGAAACTCTTGCCAAGGAAGACAAGCTCATTTCATCGATGAAGAGGTTACAGTAGACGACAAGCTGACGTGACCATCACCAGAGATTAGTTGAACATTGCATTTGGGTGAAGCTACTCGAGGAAGCATCTGAAGTTGGTTTGACACCTCAACCAAATCTTTACCAAATGATTCATCACAGTGTATTATTAGTTGCTCAAGATTCGGCATCATCTCTAGAAAAAGCTTGACTTGCTCTATCTCATCATCATAGATTTTACCGAACTTCAATATCTTCAGCACCTTCACAGGACTTGATGATAAGCAACAAGGAGGAATCTCTTCTTCTTCTTCCATCTCCTCCTCAAAAGGTTCGCACAAGCACATGTCTCCGCATCTAACTGTGGCTTTGTGGCCGAGTCCCTGAAAACACAGAAGAAACATCATCTCTCACACTTTTTGACAAACGAATCAACATGAGCTTTTCAAAGGCTTTGTTTTCATACCTGCAAGACAAGAGTTTCCAGATTTGGAGAGTTCTTGAGCAGACCCGGCAATGATTGCCATCCAATTTCCGGTTTACTCTCAACAGTTAAACGAGTCAGATTGATGAAGAGCGGTATTGCTTCACAACAGTAAGTAAGTACCTGAAGCAAAACCATATCAACAAGCACATCATCACTCATTTGCAATCATCAACTCAAATTCTTAAACAATGTAAAAAAAAGACAAACCTCAAGAGTCTCGGCAGATAGATAAAGGATCTTCACACTGCTTATTCCAACTATGAAATCTGTTGCATTACCGACCATTTCGTTCTCCTCATGGCCTTCAGAGTAGTGTATCTCTAAATCTGAAGAACTAGCCTCATGTAGAAAGTGTGCCAGTCCTGCTTGCACTTTTGACATCTGAAGATTGATACGGGCTTCAACAAGCGAACCCAAATTCACTTTCGGATACTTGTCAGCAATAGTATCATTAAAGTCCAAGTAGACAAGATTAGGAGTGTCCAACGACACTCTTTGGATTCTTATCAAGCTCTTGCCAGGAAAACTTTAGTCTCTTGAGAGTTGGGACAGACACAGAGGCAAAATCCCATATGAACCAAGATATGTCATCCAAAACTAAATCCTCAAGCTCGTGGCAGCCAGAGAGAAGCTTGTCAAGCCCAACACCATGCTTTTCAAAATGGACTCCCTCGATACAGAGAGTCTTAAGCTTTGGAAGACATGCCTCTTCAACATCAATGTTGGGGCCACACCCACTCAGTTTCAGCCTAACTAGTGTCTCGCTCAAGAAGATCTCTGAAGGAAGCAGAGAATCCGATTCAATGCCTTGTGTAAGATCCCGTTCCAAATCCAAGCCTAGTTTAAGGTCCGCCACACCACGTTCCAACACATTGAGAATCCAGCGAAAGATACGGATAGGATCAACTGGATCATCGCCATCTCTGATCTTTAGAGAGAATTTGTGTACAGGAGAGTTGTCTTGCAAAGCCAAGACTCTGTCCACGAAATCCATGAAACTTGTAGGAACGCTGCTCTTTCTCTGAGTGATCATTTCCATGATACCGTCAATTCTTACAGGAATCTTTATCTCTTCTCTAGGAGTCAGATAGACGGAGGCATCGAAATCAAGATTAGTGACAAAAGCAAAGAGATACCGCCATTTGCTCGAGAGGACAGACATGGAAGCAGCTTCTTTAGTGGTAAGGAAGGACAAGATGTGGGAAATCAAAGGATCTGGTAGGCCGCTGATCAAATCTCTAGAACCACCACCAAGATCCATCTTTTTCGACAACATTTAGTAACAACCTGAAAACCAAAGACACGGAGCTCGATAAGAAATAAGACATTCTAACAAAAACGATCCCTTCAACTTCCTCTGTCTCATACTGGCTTTCAAGCTTGTTCCTTTCACACAATCCGCAAGGTTCATTTTATCATTCCCAAGCAAAAAAAGCTAAGAATCGAGCATGCACACATACAAAATCAAATTTGCTAGCTTGAGAAAAGAAAAGAAAAACACAAGACAGAAATGGAAACTTACTTGGGGACAAAAGCAAAACCAACCAATATCACTCAACTACTGTGAACATCAGACAATCGCATAGCTACTGCGGGAGTGAATTGATCGCTCAAATTTAGGGTTTCGGCGACTTTAGGGCGAGGGTGAAGAAAGGCCAGCTATTTTACCATGTCTAAAAAGATTTTATAAAAAGGGATATAGATATTGTGTGCTATCAAGTCTTAAAGATTTTGTATACTATCAAGAAGTCTCTAAAGATTTTCTGTCTTCTCAGAAGAAGATATAGTGTTTAGTTTTGCCAGTTTATTTCCTTTGGTCAGTCAAATCGTTCCGGTTCCGGTTCGACCATTTTTGTGACCGTGGTTAGCCCAAATTTTTGTTCCGAAGTTAAGGCCCATAAGACCACAATACAGACAGCTGATTGATTACTAAGATTTGTGCAAAGACTTTCATATCAGAAACACACAATTTCATATATACACAGACAACTAAAAAAATACAGCTGGGAAATCTAAGCAGTTTACTTCATGACTTGGATCTGGCATTTGGATGAAGCTTTGGGAAGAAACAAGAGATCCTTCAACAGACGAAATCTTCCTCTATCATCCATAGATCCATGATCAACCGTAACCATTTCAAGATGCGATAATTTCCCCAAGAAACGCTTCAGCTGATTAAGCTCCTGACTAGTTCCTCTATACCCATTGATCTTTAGAACCTTCACTGCCGATGATGACAGAGAATCAGACACACCATCCCAAGAAATATGCAAGTGTACACCTTCCCATCCTTCTCTTACATAGTGCACTAGACCCTGACCAAAAAACATTGGAGAAAATGATCATTCCAGACTCAGAAACTAGTACATTATACATACATAAACAACTCTTTCTGCATAATAATACCTTGATGATGAGAGTTTCTAAGTTTGTCGAGTTGAGAAGCAGAGATGGAAGCAATTTCCAGAAGACGTATGGAGAGCCATGAGGTTTATCACTTCCCAGAGTTAAACTAATCAAATTGTTGAACACTGGCATCCTCTCACCGCGGTAATAGAGAGCCTGAAACACACACACACACACACACACACACCAAAAATCAAATCTTTTGTAATATTATTACTAACTAACAAGAAGCAAACGTAAAGTGACTAACATCCAGAGCATCCGGAGATAAGCAGAGGATCTTGACATTTCGTATCCCCATGAACAATGCCGTAACATCACCAGGCACAAAACCAACACTCTCCGGAGCATTCTTGCGCATGATTTGGTTCGCATTCAACAGAAGATCAAGCCTGGCTTCAACAAGGCTGTCCAGTTTCAGCTTCTCGTACTTATCCGCAACCATATCCGAATACTCCAAGCAAACAAGACCCGGAGTGTCAAACGAAACGCAGCGTTTAGGAGCAGAAGCATCACCATCACTCGTGAGCACAAGTTTCTTCAGTGTTGGACTTGAGATAGACCCGTTCCAATAGTTCCACTTGTTCGATCCATGGATCCGCAGGGACTTAAGCGCAGGGAAAGCTGAGAGAATCGGCTGAAACCCAAGCTTACCATCCTCAAACGTAATCGAATCAAGAACGAGTGAATCAACATTCGGAGAAACGGAATCTGAAGGAGAGTAGAAAAGACGGATCTTTGCTCCGATTCTGAGGTTTACCAGTGTCTTGCTCGTCAGGACGTTTAACGGCAAAATGAAAATCCTGTAATCGAAGCTTAGAGAGAGATCTAACACACCGAGATCGATAAACGTTCGTATCCACCGGATTAAGCGCTCCGGTTCAAGTACGTGACGACATTTGAGAGAGACTCTCTTAACCGGCGACGAGTTCTTCACCCGGAGAGAGAGTAACCTATCGACGAAATCCTTGAAAACGGTGACGTTTCGTGGACCGAATTTGGGGCGGAGTAACGCGGAATCGTCGAAATCGAGAACGGGGACCGATTGAAGCAGATTCGACCATCGCTTCGAGAGCACCGATGTTAAAGCAGCCTCTTTTGTAGTCAGGAAAGACAGGACATGGCAGAGAAGATCATCTGGTAGATTGCTGATCACGTCTTTGGAACTTGGATTCGCTTTTTTGTTAGCTTCCATTGCAGAGAAATCCGATCACACTCAAGGGTTTAACGAGCGAGAGAAGTAGTAACTAAAGGGGGACGGTTTTGATCCTGAAGAAAGAGAATTTTAAGAGGCATCCATGGAAATGAGACTCCTCCTACCGTCCAATGTGGGGGACTCAGTTTACGAATTCATAAAGATTGAAGCGGAAAATGATGGGATTAGGGTTTGTAACGCTTACGAGAAACCCCAGAAAACCCCCAAGTAACTGACAATTGGAACTGGTCTTGAAGCGTGTGATTTTAAGAAAATCCAAAGTCAAAAAGTCACAGCTGTGGAGCGAGAGAGAACGAGATGAATATTTTCATCAAATGGAATCTGGTGGGTCGTGGCTCGTTTTGGGCCTTTGGGCCCATAAATACTCAAAATGCTATATTAACAAATACCAACAACATTGAGAAGAAAGTAAGCAATGAGTGCAAAAACAATGAAAATTATAGCAAACCAAAATTGGATCAGACACCACACAAGGAAAGAAAAAGGCAAGTTTTCCACAAAGGAGTTAGATGGAGACCTATCAAGTAAAGTGTCAAAGTGACGTAGCAGATGACGTTGTAAAAGAAACCGCCAAAGAGATTCAACTTTTGCTCTCTCTTCTTTAAGTGGTAACCAGAAATAATTTTTTTTTTGTCTTTATGTCCGCAGTAGTAAGCAGAGGACTGGCTTTGGGTTTGGCTTTCTTAGGAAAAAGGTCCAAAACCTTCTCGTCCGTTGCTTTTTCATTTCATATCTTCTGATATTCCATTTATCTATAATTGAAAAACAATAAACTGAATTAGAACTTTTAATTAAGGCGGTAAATTAAAGTACTAATGGGTAAAACATGATTTCAGTAACTATCTACTGTTTACAATAGTTGTCATAACTTTCCAAATTTTACAAGTGATATATCTCCGTTAGTCCTTTCAAATCTTGCATTTGTGCCATTAGTCCTACGCTCCTAGGTATTAACCCCAACCCTCTCTTCAGATTTCTTGAAACGGTCAACAAATTTTGATACGTTTTATTAAAAGATATACATACGATTTTGGAGTTATATGAGACAGAAAAAGCTGAGTGGGATAATTTAGGGCACAAAAAAAAGAGAGTGAAGATATGAATTCACAAAACCGAATGACGTGAGCCATGACGATATTATTCATGCGTAGACATGTAAAAGCCAGATACAAAGTTATCACTACTATAATCGACATAAAAGAACGCAAAAAAGATGGATATTAATGTGTACTGATCCATATGACAATAGGCAGGATTAAGGAATGCTTGTTTTTTTAATTCGTTCACGTGATGAGCCTCTACTATTTTGTGTGTATGGTATAAATTATTACCTCGCACGTTACGTCCACTCTAGGATCTTACATATTTAGTTAAAAATAAGCTAATTTGGAAAACACAAGTGAGTCGGTGTGATTTACATGTCTATGCATGATTTTCCACCAAATCCGGAATTTGATCTCTTCAGTCCTCTAGTCTCTTCAGATCTCCCGGTAGATCCTACATCGATTCAAATTTCTATTTAGTTAAAACATTTACTGCTTAGGAAGAAAAGAGAACTCAAACGGAACGTGTAGTAAAAATGGAAGTTTGATTCTCTTTTGGTAAGAATGTGTAACTGGTTGACAAAACGAACGAATATATATATATTACCAATTCAAATATTACCAATTGAGAGTTCTATTTTAGTTTAAGTTGAGACTGAACCGAAAACCAAAGTAGTAACTACAAATATCAGAACCCAACACTTCAACGGTTCACCCTTGTATGATTGTATCTATTGGAGTCGGCCCTTTACGACCACTTAGTTATCGTTACCAAAAACAAAAATATTGTTTCACTAGACGTAACCTTTATTTGTCAATAAGACAATAACAACGTAAAGCAATGGTTGAGAAAAAAGACAGAAAAGTATATTCTTTTGTTTATTATCAAAATGAATGTCATATGATAAAAGTTGTGAAGAAGTTATTGTTCGATTTGGATCTGTCTTCTGTATGATTCGCTGTCACACTGTCACGTGTTATATAAGACCATGCTTGCATATCTTGGATAATAATAATGCGATTGAGATGCGAAAAAGTAACTCACAACGCGGATCTAAATTTATAAGAGTATATCCCATTATGAAAACGCTACAAAGGCAAACGACAAGACTTTGAATTCGTTAGGATTTTATAGTTTGGCAATAATCTGTAACCAAGATTCGCTGATATTTTGCATACTATAGTTTATCTCATACCTTCAAAGCTAAGTGGTAAAAGTCTTTTAACTTTCGTTTGAGGTAAAAATATTTTAATTACGTTGGACAATCACTAAGATGATCACAGACATCACACTTACACTAAAGTCATGTATAAGAAAGAACACATTATTACATCATTAATTATGTTTGACCTACACAGAAAACATAATTGAGACAAAAGTGGCAGAGTGATTAAATATATTAGAATATTATATTTTCCCTGGATATGTGTGCATGCAACTTCCAATCTTGTCAGTAACAGAATATAATAACAAACGAAAAAATTATGGTTAAAACAAAAATCATATTCCCTTTTCCATTTAACAAATATATTCGAGCTCTTCAGTTTCCACATTATAAAATTCTTTAACCACAACCCAGAAACAGAGTCCTTCTTCGATTTTCCTTACGTATTCTCCATTTTCCAAAGTCTATCCAATCATTTTCTTCTTCTCTTCTGTGTGTCTTCTTCTACAAATCTTCTCTCTCGAATCGATCTTTCGTTTCCCGTACTCCTTTTTCCGCGTCTCTCTTCTTATTCGAATGCTCAGAAAACCAGACGGTGAAAATAGGGAAAGTGATTACAATAAAACTTTCCCGGAAAAATTGGGTTTTTATTTTATTAGGGAGAGAGGAGAAAGAAACCAGTAAACAATGACCGGAGATTTCTGGACTTGGTTCTGCGGGAATCACCACACACCACCAAACTGCACTCTCCGATTTCTGCAGACATGTTTCGGTATCACACTCTCATTCGCAAGTCTCTGCATTTGCTTGTTTCACAAGGAACCTCTCAAACAATATCACCGATTCAATCGTCTGCGAATCGTCTCTGCTCTGTTCAACGGAATCATCGGATCACTAGATTTGATTTTAGGGATTTGGGTTTTACAAGAGAACCCAAACAAGCCCTCGGTTTCCTGGCTGGTGATTCTCGTCCAGGGATTCGCATGGCTCTTCATTAACTTAGTCGTTTGCGTCAGAGGACTACAAATCCGTAAGTCCTCGTTGAGATTGCTTTCTATTTTCTCCTTCTTCTACGCTCTACTCTCGAGCTGTTCATCTGTGAAAAACGCTGTTCATGGAGAGGAATTAGCAATTAGGACGGTTCTCGATGTTTTGTTAGTACCTGGGTCAGTGTTATTACTCCTAACCGCTTATAAAGGCTCTAGCTTTGAAGATTCTAGTGAGAGTAGCAGCTTGTATGAGCCTCTCAATGTCAGCGATTCAAAATCTGATTTTGATAAACCGGTTAGCCAATTTGCAAGAGCTGGTTTGTTAAGCAAGTTATCATTCTGGTGGTTGAATTCTCTGATGAAGAAAGGAAATGTCAAAGACTTGGAGGAAGAAGACATGCCTGAGCTGCGAGAGGAAGAGCGTGCAGAGACTTGTTATTCATTATTTGAGGAGAATCTCAATGAGCAGAAGAGAAGATTAGTAGATGATGATGATGATACTCGACGGCCTTCGATCTTGAAAGTGACTGTTCTTTGTGTGTGGAGAGAGGTTTTGATCTCTGGCTGCTTTGCGTTTATGAAGATTGTTTCTGTTTCAGCTGGTCCTCTGCTTCTGAACGCTTTCATTTTGGTTGCTGAAGGCAACGAGAGGTTTAGATACGAAGGGTTTGTGTTGGCTGTGTTGCTCTTCTTCACAAAGAGTGTAGAGTCTTTGTCGCAGAGACAATGGTACTTCAGAAGTAGGCTCGTTGGTTTACGCGTGAGGTCTCTTCTAACCGCAGCTATATACAAGAAACAGCTGAGACTGAATACATCTTCGAGACTGAGTCATTCAGGGAGTGAGATTATGAACTACGCGACTGTTGATGCTTACAGAATTGGTGAGTTTCCGTATTGGTTTCACCAGCTTTGGACGACGAGCTTTCAGCTACTGATCGCGCTTGGGATCCTCTTTCATTCCGTGGGGGTTGCTACGTTCTCGGCTCTAGCTGTGATAGTGATTACTGTTATGTGCAACGCTCCTATCGCGAAGCTTCAGAACAAGTTCCAAAGCGAGCTCATGACTGCTCAGGATGCGAGGCTCAAGGCATGCAACGAGTCTCTTGTCAACATGAAGGTGTTGAAGCTCTACGCGTGGGAATCACATTTCAAGAAGGTTATCGAGAAGCTGAGGAAGACAGAGTTGAAATCTTTGAAGGCTGTTCAGATGAGGAAGGCTTACAATGCGGTTCTCTTCTGGTCATCGCCGGTTCTTGTCTCTGCTGCGACTTTTGCTACTTGTTATTTCATTGACATTCCGCTGAGAGCAAGTAACGTTTTCACGTTTGTGGCGACGCTGCGTCTGGTCCAAGATCCAGTGAGAATGATCCCTGATGTGATTGGAGTGACGATTCAGGCTAAAGTTGCCTTCAGTCGTATATCAGCTTTTCTAGAAGCTCCTGAGCTTCAAGGTGGGGAGAGGCGGAGAAAGCAGAGGTCAGAAGGAGAACAAAACGCAATTGTGATTAACTCTGCGAGCTTTTCGTGGGAGGAGAAAAGTTCAGCAAAACCAAACTTGAGAAATGTGAGTCTTGAGGTTAAGTTAGGGGAGAAAGTTGCTGTTTGTGGTGAAGTTGGCTCAGGAAAGTCCACACTTTTAGCTGCCATTCTCGGTGAAACTCCATGTGTCTCAGGAAAGGTAAGTCATTGATTGAATTTGTGTGTCTCCATGTGTCTAACAACTTTACATGTTACTGATTTTGATTTGAATCATTCCACAGATAGATTTCTATGGAACGATC